GACTGTAGACTTGGATTAAATGACAAATGCTTGCCATCTTCTGAACTTATAGGAACGCTACTGTGAAAGGGTAATGGGGAGTGATAAAATGGTTTATTAAGGAGGATAGAGTGAAAAAGCACCTTTCCTTTACTCTGTAAAATATCTGCTCTAGGGACACACCCTCCACAATTGTTTACATCTTTCAGAGGAACTACTAGTATTCAACTCGAATATATTTGTGCTTCCTTTTCCAGGTGAGGACCAAGGACCATGTGTTCGATAATGTTGGCCACCTTATCAAATACCATATGGATAATAGTTTGCCAATCATCTCTTCTGGAAGTGAAGTAAGCCTTAAACAGCCAGTAAGAAAAGGTAATAATACAGGACTTTGGCATTCCAGGAAATGACAGCTCCAGACACTGTGGCAGTGACGTCAGAAGAATATCCTTTTTGTGTCAGGGACAATGACAATTCAAGCCTTTTCTCCAGATGAAATAGAACACAGACTGTGAAACATGTCTCTCTGAGACCATCACGGACTATGTCTTTTGTAAGAGAGAGAACTAATAAAATACCCTCTAAATATGAACATCAGAGAGGAAGAATTTCAATCCATTTGAAAAGGAGTTATGCATATGCACGGAGGTCACTTTTTAAAGGTCACATTGCATTGATTAAAAAGCTAAAAGCACAACTACAATTTCATATGCTAAAGACAACTTGAACTGCTCAGGCAGTGATATGTGCCTTTGACTTGATAATCTGGGGACATTTTCATATGGGGGGAGAGCAGTTCCAGGTGTTTTCGTGTTCTATAGCTACAGAACCAGTTGCCAAAAAAGCTTTTCCTTGCTGAAAAAGCAAGAGGAAGCAATTTGATGAGCAGTGTTGACTTGAGCCGGTTTCTCTGCAGTAACACTGTTGCTGCCACGTTAATGACAACACTGACATCAAATTCAGACTGTGTTTATGCTGTGCAATGAAGGCAAAAGCCACTGATGGTTTCATCGTTCTGTCTCCTTTGTTGATGAAAAGGTTGGGGCCCAAATTCACTGGCCAGTGCTCCTCAATCTTTGCTATCTGAACTGTTCATATGCAGCATGGGACAAGTTCATGAGGCCAAATCTCTTGCTTCCTTCTGATTTTGAGTACATGGATATAAAAGATGGTAAACAAAGCCAGTGTTCTTCATGCTCAGTCCGCACTGCTTCCATCCTTACTGAGAGTACAGAAGGTAATTCAAAGTAGAGGAAACTCTCCTTTTGATTGGCTGCCACCGAATCCTAGTGTCACCTCTAGATGTGTCCTATCTCCCTCTCTACATGTGGCCAGACAAAACGCAGAGTGAGAAGACACATAGGTTAAGGGTTTGGAAAGGCCTGCCACACACAGCCCGATGGTAAAACTGGCGGTGAAATTAAGAACCCTCAGAGAAGCTCTAGGCTCAGACTATTCATCTCTGTGGCTCTTGGCAGGTTGCTAAACCTGTCTGGATTCCCGTTTTCTTGTTTATGAGGGAGTTCAGAGGTGCATTCCAAGGTCCGTTGGCATCCTAACATAGTTTTTTCTTTGTTAGAAATTAATGCTGACAAGCAGCTTGTAGTTAAGGGGAAACATTTAGGACTTCCCCTTATTCTGTGTCTATACTCAACTGCTCAAGGGTTTAAACAAGTCATCACTCACACAGCTCCACCCCAAGCGTTTCAGTGTAAAGCAGGTAATGTTGATATAAGTGGATCTGGTTGTTTTAGTAATAGCAGAAATACTCAGTCAGTTCTTACTTGCATTTGCATATAAAGAAATGGCCATTACTAAAGGAGAGATGGAGAGGGAGTGTGTGTGTGTGTGTGTGTGTGTGTGTGTGTGTGTGTGTGTGTGTGTGTGTGAGAGAGAGAGAGAGAGAGAGAGAGAGAGAGAGAGAGAGAGATTAATTCTGAATTAATTCTGAGTTTTCTGGATAGTTATCTCAATACTACTTCATTTTGGCTAAGTAGATACAACTTAACCTTTGTGGTTTATGATATATTTGGTTAGTTTTGAATACAATATGGAATAGTTCTTTTGGATAGAAATCATCAGAAATCAAATACATTGAAGTCTGATGTTTTTATGTAACAGCTCACCATTTTATTTCTGCTACCATTGGCTTCTTATGTAGGTTTCCTTTCCACAGTTAGAAAATAATGTATATTTCATTGATTTCCCCCATATATCTTAGGTCTTCATAATTTTTCTTCATAAAAGGGATCAGCGTAGTGATAGGAACTTGTAGGCAACCTGCATCAGAGACAGGGCAGGACTATGGTCTCCTTCTAGCTGATGCACAGAGACTGGGTAGCCAGGAGGTCCAGATGCAGGGAGCTCTGATAGTGTAAGCAGCACACATGGGTAGTCAACACTAGACTCAAGTGGTGTTGTAGCTAGGGAAGCAAATACTGCACTTTCCGATACTAAAGACACTAAAGTTCACATACACCCAAAAGATGCAAGAAATGTCTGCATGCTACTTTAATCTCATATTCTCAACCTCTATTTTAAAATGGTGGTTCATTTGCCTGTAAATATCTGTAAATGACTTTTCTAAAAAAAATAAATGAATATTGCTTTGTGACAACTGACACTATATGTCTGGTATTTTGGGACTTGGAAATTTTATCATATGTGTGGTGGATCAGTGTCTTGACAGGAAACAGATGGTTCACTCAAACTGAGTAATTTGAGGAGAGATTAATAAAGGGTCTTTAAGGTATGGCTAAAGTATAGAGAAACCACAGTAGAATGCAGTGCCCAGGAGAAGGGAGAGGGTGAGAGCAGATATAGAATCTGGAGAGCCATATGGCTGCATATAGGAGCTGTGGAGGGTCCTGGGGTGGGGGTCACAGTTGATCCTGGAGAGCTGTGGAGGGTCCTGGGGTGGGGGTCAGAGCTGATCCTGGGGAGCTGTGGAGGGTCCTGAGATGGATGGGGGTCAGAGCTGATCCTGGGGAGTTGTGGAGGGTCCTGGGGTGGGGGTCACAGCTGATCCTGGGGATGCAAAAGAGAGGGTCAGCTAAGAGCATTAATAACCTGATTTTTTTTCTGCTCTGTCTCTGATCTGCTGGGATTCTTTACTGACTGAGGTAACTTGAAGGCAGAGTGAGGGAGCTTGTTGATGTCCCCTTAGGGCACAGCAGAGTGGTTCCAGGGAAAGCAGGGTCCCCTCCTGGGGTTCTTGATCTCCTTAGTAACAGAATCTAAGAATGAACTCAAATGGGAGCTTGAGGACAATTGTACAAGAGCTCAAAGGAAACCCCCAGAGTAGTCAAGCTGTCAATCTCGGTAGTTGCCCAGAGGAGGAGAAACAGCCATGATGTTTGAGTTAAGCTGGAGTACAGGCCAACTCCATGGTGGACCAGCAGCCAGATGGCAGGGAGGGGAGCTTGAGAGAAAGAGTGAAAAAGCTCAGAGTCCCGGAGAAAACGTATGTGGGTTCCCAGGGAAAACGTATGTGGGTTCCCAGGGAAAACATGAGAAGAAACAGGGAAAGTTGCACCCGCCTGTGTGAGGCCTCACAAAGGCAGGTAGACCCAACAGAACTTCATGGCAGCTCTAGATTGAGGATGCTAGGGGACAGAAATTCTGGAAGGAAAAGTACATAACTCAAAGAGCCAACTATTCCTCTTATATGTCTTACTATTCTCGCTACAGTACTCCACCGTGCACCTCAGCATGGAACACTAGACAGAGTTTGGTAATGAAGCGTGCCCAAGTCTCATTCTCCTTAGTAGGTATCTTGGCTCACCTTCAACAATTGCCATTTACCTGAATGCCTTTCATTGATCTTTTCTGGACCCCAAATCTTCCTTTATTTGCCCATTCCTTTAATGTATTCATGAACAAGTTAACACAGTTGTTTTGAGTGCCTAGCATGGGCCATGAAGCATGATGATAAATGCTTAAGTAAATACCTCAAGATGTTCATATTGTTCTGTGAATGAAACGGACATATGGTAACCAACGACAACAGAAAAGAGATGCATCTGCTCTTGTAGCAGGTATGCACACTGTGGACGGTGGTAGCAAACTCCAGTTCCACTAAGTGAAGTTTGTCCTAAGGGCGGAGTGGGTGAAGGGGCTGTAGAAGCTGAAACAGAAGCCATCTTGGAAGTTCAGCCTTGGGGTTTCATTGTTTCCCAGGATCGAGCTCTCATTCTGTATCAGATACCCAGCTGGGGGGTCAAGGCGGGCGTTACAAGGATGGGGTGGCAGTTGGTGGAGCAAAACTAGCCAGGTTTGGAAGAGCCTTGGAAAAGTATTTTACTCCACATGGGACACATGGGAAAGGTTTAAAAGGATGTGGCAATTTACGCCACCAAGTTTCATCGGGACCCTTCTTACCAAAGAAGCCAGAGACAGTAATTGTCACAGAACTCAGGGGGTTACAACCTGTGTCCATGCCACGTCCGGCCACCCTCTGCAATTAAGAGAGACGAGCTAAAAGTGGAAGGCAAAAATAAGATTTATTCCATGTGGTTGTGGTCTCCAAGTCCAACGACGTAATGGGATTTAACGATAGGCTAACATCCAAGGGGATTCAAGCATGTAGTGAAGAGGCACCTGGGAGCACGTACAGTCCTATCAGTAAAGAAACACTAATTTAAACATGTCACGTCTGAAGATATGGCCAAAGTTAACAACTACCAAGGCTGGAAGTTGGAGGAAACTTCTAAGAGTTGATGGGGGAAGACCGAGCGTACTTACTCGCTTACCTCTGGAAGGGCAAACGCTCTGCCGTCTCTAGGCAACTCTAAGCCCGCCCTCTCAGAAGGCCTTTGTGATTGGCTTACGACTTCCCCAATGGGGGCTCCGGGCAGCTTCCCGCCGCCACTGGCGCCCTCTTCGAACAGCCGCGCTCTAGCAACTGCAGGCGACCTCTCAACCGACCATGTGGGAGGCGGGTTTTCCGCCCTGTCGCTCTGCCCAGCCGGCCGGCCCATCAAGCGGCGGCGGCGATTGGAGGAGGCGGCTGCTCATCGAGTGGCGGGGTTCGCGGGCTTGGTTGTACCGGGAAGGTGCTCTGAGGCTGGAAGTAGGAGTTGCAGGTGGCAGGAGGGCGCTTCGGTGACTGCAGTCTTCACGGCCGGGCGGGCTGCTGCGGGATCGGGAGCTGCCTTCGCGTCTCCTGCACCGGGGCGACTGTGCACGCTGGCTCCCTGCCTGGCCCTCGGCCCCAGCGCTGCACCGGCAGACCTGGGCGCGCCTCGGGTTCCTGGGCGCCGGGCCCAGCTCTTTGGTAAGGGCGCTGCGTGAGTACACTAGGTGGAGGGAGCTTCCTGTATTTTAGGGTTGCTGTCCTCTGCCTACCTTGGTTTGTCCAAGCGGTTGTCGGTACCACGGATCGCAAGAGGTGGTCGTCATTTGTGTCCATGGCTGTGTGCCCCCGCCCCCAGTTGCTTCTCCGTGCCCTTTGTAGTCGGAACAGCATTTGGAAAGTGTCTGAAGCAACCTGTTGCGTTCTGGCTGTTTTCCATTCTGTAAGAGAAGTTAGCGTGTGAGCCTAGTGGGTGCAGTTTCCTACCTCCCAGGGCCCTTAACATTTAGTTCTTGAAGTCATGAATTTTAGTGTGACTTAAGCAGAATCTCGCTTTATAGCTTCACAATACGTGATTGTTTTCATGTAAAGGCTGAAGTTTGAAGCCACAAGCGAAGGATAATAAGACGAGCTCTCTGGAAGTGCGGAGAATGGACTTTTGATGAAGCAGGCATCTACAGGAGGGCGGAGTCCTTATCTCGGAGATGTCAGGTTTCCCACAGTCAGTTACAGTCACTTCTTTCTTACACCTACGCTGTCTTTACCCTGTCTCATTAGTAAAGAAACGGAAACAGTTTAAAACTGCACAGCTGCCAGAGTCCAGGGTTTTGAAGGAGGACCTTCAGTGCTTAATTGCTTACAGCTCTATTGCATCCTGTAAGGTCTATCTAAAGATCCTTTCTGCTGCAGCTGGAGAGATGGTTCAGCGCTTAAGAGCTTGTCATTGCTCTTGTAAGAGGATGTGAGTTTATGTTTTAGCACCCACATTACATCGGTCACAACCATTTGTGACTCCAGCTCCACTAAGGCCTGTGACGCAGTGGTTATTATGGTCACTCATAATTAAAAAAATAAAAATATTTTTGAAAAAGAAAATATACATTAAAATTTGGTCACAAAAGCAAGATTCTGGAAATATTTATCCCTTTGTGTGTGTGTGTGTGTGTGTGTGTGTGTGTGTGTGTGTGTGTGTGTGTGTTGGGGGTGGGGATGATGACTAGAAAATGAGTGCTGGGTCAGAGGTCTGTCTGGTCTGAGTCATGCTTTTTATATTCTTGTTAATGGGGTTAGGAAAAGTTTCCTGCCTAGAATGAAAATGTGAACCAAGTAGCTGTATTTTAAAAAGCACACTATCCATATAGTGTATGCTTTGATTTTTTTTTTTTTAAATGGTCAGCTCTCTGGTCAAATATAGGAGTCACTGTTTCTATTAATGCATTGTTTTGCCATATTCACCCAGAGGCAGTTTTACTAGGGCACATAATCATTTTGTATTGATGGTTTCCAAGATGATTATCTTTTCACATTTCACCAGCAGTTTCGTAAACCATGAAAAACATAGTCAAGGTTAAGTGTGACCGTCGAATGCAGTAGTTGAAGGTGGCAGTTTGTTACTTAAACTTCCTGAATTCTTCATGGACTTAACCTCTGTTTTTGTACGTAGCGGTGTATATGAGGTGTGTGTGTGTGTGTATGAGGTGTGTGTGAGTCTGTGTGTATTTGTATATGTAAATATGGCTATGCTGGTGTCATGCCATATGTGTAGAGGTCAGAGGACAATCTCTGGTGTCAGTCCTCAGTTTCTGCCTTGTTTGAGACAGTCTCTGTTGCTGTTCCAGTGTGTAGGGCATGCCAGCTGGTCCATGACCTCCCGGACAGTCTCTGAAGCTGGAGTTACAGATGCCTGTCTGTGCTGTGTGTCTGGCTGTAATGTGGGCTCTGAGGATTTGAACTTTCACACTCAAATGGGAAGAATTTTGATGCACTGAGCCATCTCCCGAGCCTGAGCTCAGACTCTGATACTGTGAAATGAGCATTTTATATATCTTTCTAAACTGAATTCTCATGCTATTTTCCCACCTTAAGCTGTCATCTTCTCATTTTCTTGGGGAAAACGTTGGTACTTTTTGTTAAGTGTTTTGCAAGTAGTTTTACAATTTTTGTAATTTTATCTCTTGACTTTGTTTCTGTTTGTTTGTCTTTTTAGGCAGGGTTTCTCTGTAGCCCTGCCTGTCCTGGAACTCCCAGTGTAGACCAGGCTGGCGTCGAACTCACAGAGATCCGCCTGCCTCTGCCTCCTGAGTGCAGGGATTAAAGGCATGCGCCACCACACCTGGCGCTCTTGACTTTGTTAATGTATTCTGTGACATCAGACTTATGACTGATGTCTTTTGCTTTATACAGTTTAAAAAATGTATTTTTATTTTATGTGTATGAGTCTTTTGCCTGCAAATATATCTCGGCACCACTTGTATGCCTGTTGCCTGTGGAGGACAGAAATGGGCTTTTTTTTCTACTGGAAGTTACAGATGGTTGCTAAATGCCATGTAGACACTGGGAATTGAACCTGGGTCCTCTGCAGAAGAAACAAGTGCTCTTGATCACTGAACCAACTCTCCAGTCTCTGGAAGGATCCTTTTTTCTTCCTGGAGGATGCCTTTGGCTCAACTTTGTCCCACTTCTTTAGGGTGAGAGGTTAAAGTGTATCTCTGTTTCCATCATCTGAGACTGTCTAGGCATGATGTCTACTTGAGCAATGAACTGAACCCAGAGGTGTGGGAGTACTGTTTTCTCCTCCCCACATGAGCCATCTTAGGTTATCAGATTCTGGTCTTTATTGTATGATATATACAATAAAATTCCAGCAGGGACTGGGTAGAGACAAGGCTTCCATTCCCAAGTGAGATTGTGTATGTGTGTTTTATGCCTCGTCTGTAAAAGCACAGATTTTGAGTTCACATTTTTGTTTTTTTTTTTTTTTTTTTTTTTTTTTTTGGTTTTTCGAGACAGGGTTTCTCTGTGTAGCTTTGCGCCTCTCCTGGAACTCACTTGGTAGCCCAGGCTGGCCTCGAACTCACAGAGATCCGCCTGTCTCTGCCTCCCGAGTGCTGGGATTAAAGGCGTGCGCCACCACCGCCCGGCCTTGAGTTCACATTTTTAACAGCTATAAAACAGTCTGTATTTTAAAGGTAGTGTTGTGTCATGATTGAAATGGTTTTCTTTTTCTTGGTATACAAATGGAATTACATCATATAATCTGGGGTGTCTGAGATCTGATAAAGGTTTTTTTTTTTTTTATGTACAGGGCTAATGGTTACGACATTTGTGATGTAGTTCACAACTGTTACCAGAAGGGAGTTATATTCTTTATGACAAAATGCAATTGTGTTGCTGGGTCCGTATGCTTCTTATGTGACTCAGTTTATTGACTTTTTACAGCCTGGAAGTTGGAGTGAATGAGTTGTGTGGCTCAGACCACACACAGAAGTACATTTCCCTGGTGTGCGGAGTCTGGATTGCAGACAGTGTTAGCCAGACCACTGGTAGCACATACTTATATTTTGGAATTTGGGGCCTTTACGTCCCCAGATATAATTTAAATAATTAGAAGTCTGTCCAGCGTTAGTAGTTGCTATCCTGGGAGCTTTGGTGTTAGAGCCTCATGGTGGTACAGTCCTAGGCTTCTCATTTGTCCTGTAGTATTTTCCCAGACCCTGATTGCTGAAGGGGAGTCATGGAACCCCAAGCTTTTTGGTGTGTGAACAGTTTCTGGGTAACAGTCACTAGCTGAGGATTGAGGAACTTCTTTCTGGAAAACATGTAGTTTGTATTTGTGGAATTCAGAGCACGGGGCAGAGTCTTGAGGACCCTTACGGCATTCGGTGCATAACTTGAGGCAGCACTTGAGCTGATCCTTAAGTTTCCTCTGTTCGGTCTTTCTAGTTTGTTAGTGTTCTGAGTTTTTGTTTCATTTTGGCAAACTTCTTACATTGTAAATACCTCCTAGCTTCTTGGGAAGCCTGGTTACTGTTCTGATCATCCTTTGCCTTTTCCCTTTGCTATGAATTGCTGTCATATGGCTGGTTTTTGTGTGAGTGGTAATTCTTTCTCCACCCTCAGGAGGACCATGTCATTGGAGTTTGGCAGTGTAGCCCTGCAGACACAGAATGAAGATGAAGAATTTGACAAAGAAGACTATGAGAGGGAAAAAGAGGTGAGTTCCTCGGAAGAAAGCCCCTGAGCCCCGTGTGCACCAACTCATCATGATTATGTCATCTTGTGCCGTTTTGAAGGATCTATGATTCATTAAACGTCAACAAAACAAAACTTATAACCTCATTAATACTGCACTTTTAAAGGATGGAGTGGGGCCTGGAAAGATGGATACATGGCATCTGGGGTCCATCTTTCCCGCCCCCATCATTCCTGTCATTCTGCAGTTGCACATTGATAATGAAATGAGCCTTGTTTTGTTAGTTTTAATGCACAATTTTGCATCTTCTAGGAGCAGAGAATATCACATATCTTTTCATCCCGGGGTTAGATGATTTTCTCTAATCAGTCACTCCCTAGAGGGGTCTCTAGGGCATTACCAGAGCTTAAGGGCTCCTAGGCCATATGCTGTCACTGCTGTTCCCACCACCTGGGCAGAGTACATCTGGCAACTCAGATTTCCTGTGGGTTGTCTGGTTGTCACGTCTCTGATTTCTGGTGAAGTGGGATCCTGACAGGCAGGTCTGCTCTGTGGAACCCGACACCGTGAATGAGCACAGTGATTAAGGGTTTGCTGTGCTTCCCAAAGAGGCTTTTCAGTTGTGATGTGTGCATATAAACCTGACACCCTTGTAGAAAAAGTCAAGCCTGCTGGTAACCCTGGTGTCATGCTGTCCCCTTTCCTCAAGTGAAAATGTGAACATGATTCGTGTGCAATTTAAGAAACTCACTAAGTGGAGGAGTCAGGAATCTCTTTGTTCAGTCGCTCGTCGGCTTCAGGCAGCTTTGGGTAGTGTCTTGTGTTTCAATCAGCTTGATTATGATGGGACTCTCCTGAACTCAGTTACAGCAGCTACTCACAGACCTCCCTCACGACATGCTGGATGATGACCTCTCCTCTCCTGAGCGCCATGATTCGGACTGCAGTGTGGACGGCCTAGTGGGAGAGTAAGAGCCTGGGATCACTTCCTCCTGTTTATTGTACTCCATAAATCTTCCTTTGATCCTCTGCTGATAGGAATGTAAACTTGAGACTGCTTTCTAAAACTTTTTGGGTTAAGGTTGAAGGAAAAACAACTACTAGAATCTTGGGTTTCTTTGTGTTATTTTTGGCTAAATATGATAGAGTGTAGATCTAAAGTACTGATTTTTCTCAAGACTGCGTCCTTCTGAGCAACTGGAGAGGAAGTGGATGGAGCGTGACTATGACGTACTGCCCACATCTCACATCGTGAATGTAAGTGCGGGTGGTGACCACAGTGCTGTTGTGGGTAGGGTAGGTTTGTGCTTTTGTTTTACTTTTGTTGACTAATAGGACTGTACCGGTCTTGTGTTTTGGAGAACAGTGTGGCAATGGCTGGGAAGAAAATCGAAGTAAAACTGAAGCCCAGCATCTTGGGTACCATCCCGGAGAAGGCGGGGATGAGGGCGGAAGTGGCTACAGCCCTCCAAGTAAACACGAGGCGGCAGATTTGTATCGCCTTCCTGAAGATTTTAGGCCGTACACCGGTGGTCAGAAGCAGGAATTTCACAAGCAGGCAGCTGGAGTCATTACCTTTTCAGATCCTCAGAGGGACAAGTTTCAGGTACTGTGAGAATTTGACTTTGAAGAGTTTGTGTGTATGCATGTACTCACACTGGTAAAGTAATGACAACAGTTTTTCTGAATCTACTCACTCAGGTTCTAGCTCAGTTAGTTTTCTGTTTATGATCAAATGCAGTTGCGATGCCAAGCCTGATGTTTACAATAGAAGCTTTTGGGGAATAGTTATTTAAACTTTAAAGGTTAAGTCTCTCAAGGAGTGGCTCCTCATTTACTGCTTCTGTCTTCTGTGAGGTGCTTCCCTGAGAAATAAGCTGTTTTTAAAGGAGCGGTTTCATGTAGATCGCAGCATTTAATTTCCTTCATTTCCGTGTTCACCAGTTTTCTAATGAGTTTAAGTCCAATACTTCAAATCCAGTTCCTACTTTGTGTGGTGTCGCAGCAGTAGATGGGGTGACTGTTAAGGGAACATGCCGTGAACTGACTGTGGGGAGTTCTAAGAAGGCATCAGGAGATAGTGTGTCTTAGAACTTCTCAATAACAAGAAGTGTCTCATTTTCCCAATTGCTATTCTGTATCATTCAATGACATGATGATTTTGGGGGGGGGGGGGGGGGGGGCAGGGTCCATTAAAAGTTATTTTCTCTTTGTCTCTGGAGAATGTTGTTCATTGAAAAATAATTGAGAATTTATTGTACATGAGATGGTATCACATGTTCTCATTTATTGAGCATGTACATGTTTTATGTTCCCAAGACGGTGACATTATCTTAACCATTTGTGGTATAAATCTCATTGCCATTCTTAAATTTTATTTTTGAAATTGACTCCATTGTCTGCTCAAGAGGACTAGGAAGCAGTTCATAGTACTCAGTAACAGTGGGTACTAGTTTTGAGCACAAATATGTGTGGATATTTGATTATGGGCTGGGGATGTTGTAGGTCAGTTGGTAGAATGCTTGCCTAGCATGCATGGGGTTCTGAGTCCAATCCCCCAGTAGTGCATAAACCAGGCATGGTGGTGCACATCTGTAATTCCATCACGTGGAAAGTGGAGGGAGGTGTCTAGTAAGGTAATTTTGGAAGAAAAGACCAAATCTTAATGGTTAATTTTATTCGTCATCTTTTAATAGCAATTTGGTTCATCTCAGGGACCCAGCTGTCAAGCTTTGGAGCCATATAAAGCAATCTATAAACCTTACCAATCTTCTGGCCAGAGCGGTAGCTCACCAGCCCAGGAGATGGCAGCAAGTGACATGTTTGAAGGCCTGCAGCAACAATTTTTAGGAGCTAATGAAAGTAGGTATTCTGTTTACGTTTATTTACTTGACTGTTTTTGTTTTATTTTCATCTAGGGCCTTGCTGTGTTGCCCAGGCTGGCCTCACACCCATGGCAATCCCTCTGCTTAGAGACGTATTACTACAGCCAGCTGTATTATTTTTCATTAACGTAATTGGGGAATTTTGAACACTTAATGAATATTTATATATATATTCAAGAATTAATATTTTTTAAGTAACAATAATAGGATTGTTGACATTTCAAACAAGCACCATTTCCTTATATTAAAAGTATATACTGAACTATTTATGAGCAAACTAATAAGCACTTTAATGTTTACTTCAAAATAGTTTATTGAACTAGGAGTTGTGGTTCACCTGTAATATGAGCTCTTAGGGGAGAGATAGGAGGACCAGTCAAGGCCAGCCTGAGTGCAAAGAGCATTCAAGACAGCCTGAGTACTTGGGGCATGTGTGGCATTTGTAAGGCCTTTATTTTCATTCCTGAACCTCACAAGAGCAAACGTTTGTAGGGAGCTGTTGGTGGGGTAAAGATAAAATAAAACCACTGTGAATCAAATATTTCATTGGGATTCATTGTGCTATGCTCCCTAATGTAGCACTATTTGAAACTAAAATGTCAGATGCAAGTTTTAGCATTGAGTCACCCTGAGCTTAAGTGTTTTCCTGTCTGCTTTGGAACATGGACACACTTATCTCACCAGTCTTGGGTTTCTTACTCTGTAGACGGGTAATTAATAAATCAATTATGAATTTCTTGGTTTTTCTTTTCGTTTTATATTTTTTAATGTGATGATTGTACAAACCTGCTCCTGTATTCAGAATTGATGTTGGTGCATTACTTGCTCCCTGTCTTAGTCACTGTTCTATTGCTGTGAAGGGACATCATGACCAAGGCAGCTCTTATAAAAGAAAGCATTTAACTGGGACTTGTTACAGTTTCAGAGGTTTAGTCCATTATCATCATGGCAGGGAGCATGGCGGCGTGCATGCTGGCGCTGGAGCAGTAGCCGAGAGCTACATCATGATCCGTAGGCAGAGAGAGAGACACACACACACACAGACAGACGGACAGACAGACTGACTGACTTTGGACTTGGCATGGGCTTTTGAAACCTCCAGGCCCACCCCCAGTGACATACTTCCTCCAACAAGGCCACTCCTCCTAATCCTTTTAATCCTTTTAAACAGTGTCACTCCCTGGTGACTAACCATTCAAATATAGGAGTCTTTGGGGACTACTTCTATTCAAACCACCACACTTCCTAGGCTTTTTGATTTTTGATGTAGAGTGTGTATAAATATGATCATAAGGAAAACACTTAAAGCCAGTAGAGGATTTTGAGATGAAATGCTTGTTTAAAAACAAACAAAAAAGCTATGCAGTGACTCGCCTTGGTATTTTCATAGATGGAAGCTTTTATCATTGTGCTCCTGGAGAATTAAATTAACTTTGAATTATTGTGTATGTTGATGAGCCAGTATGATTTTAGAGTGATTGGAGAAGTTGTCCTATGTACTATTGCATATGTGGGCTAGGTCCTCGAGAAAACTGGCCTTCTCTGTTTGGACGCAGAGTGTTGCATTAGGCTTGTTAGGGTCACAGAATAGCTGTAGGGAGCCCCAGAGCGCATTTGTCTTGAAGGCTCAACAGCAAGCGTGGGAGTGGTTTGAAGTGCCACAGAGAAGTAGAACTAGCATGTGGCTGGGGTAGTTTGAGATGGAGTGGCAGTTGTCACAGCCACGCCCGCATCTGCTCCTTCAGGTTCTCTGGTAGTGACATGCTTTATGTCTCTCCTTACTGTTCTTAAAAATCTGCATTAAGTTACTTTATTTCTAAGGTGATTATACATTTTTTTTTTAAGTTGACATTTAGAAGTTGAATAACTTAATGGTAGTGACAAATTTCCCAGCAACAACAATCAGTTAAAGAATGAGGTCAATTGAGGCCACACAATCTCAGGAAGAAACCCTGCATGTTCTCTTGCCTGTGGGAACCTAGCCAGTAACATAGGCACATGTGGAAACACATGCACGTGTGGGTGCAGTAAAACATGATGGAAAGAGAAGAAGAGAGGCTAAGTGTTCGGGAGAGGAACTAAGACTGAATGCAGGTGATGAGTGTGAGTTAGGAAAGGGCCATAAACTAACTGCTTTTCTAGTTCTAACTCTCTTGGGGTTTTTGTTTTTGATGGTGAATAAATGCATAAAATATATTTGATAGTGAATTGTAAAATCCAATGTGAAGTTCCATAGCTTCTGTTTTGAATGGCTACTCTGTTTAGAAGTTTGTTGAACTGTAAAGACTTTGGGTCTGGTTAATTTTGGTGTGTAATCTTTTTATTTGCAAATTATTTTCTATAATAAAGTTTAAAATTAATAAAAACAGGTGAATTTGGAGAGAGAGAGCTTTGAGACAGTTTATTTGTGCCCCCTCCTTCTGTAAGGCTAGAGAGATGCTTTCAATACTCAGATTTTTTCTTTTTCTTTTTTTAAGACAGGGTCTCAGTATGAAGCCCTGGTTGGAACTCGATGTGTAGACCAGGGTGACCTTGAACTCACAGATGCCTGTCTGCCTTTGCCTGAATGATGGGATTAAAGGCATGTAGCACCATGCCTGGCCTTAAGTTTCTTTTCTTTCTTTTTTTTTTTTAATTTAATTTAGAAAAGAGTCCAAATTATTCTGTTAATAAATATTAAAATTTTTTATATGTATTTATTGATCATAAGTTTCTAGAAGCATATGCCTAGTGGAAAATGAAGACTATCATTATGGAAATGAAGTGTTATTCTTCTTATACCTGCCAATTTTCTTCTCCCTCCAATCTAAACATTTTCTACAATAACTTTGTTTCTGATGAAGATGTCAGCGTTCACTCCTCTCTTTATTAGTTAAGGAATATAGCCATCATATGCCAGGGTAAACATAACACAATGTATTTACCCTTCTGCTAAAGGGTGCTTTGACAAGTGTGCCTGGCAGTGTCCCTTTCAGACAGTGTGACAGCAGCTCCTGCGCTTGCGTTTGGCCCTGGTTCGACGAGAGCACTTTTCTCTGTCGCAGCTGCGTGTTAGTTGTCTACATTGATAGTGAGTCAGTGTTTAACCTGAACCCAGAGACATTCCTCCTTTCCTGGTGGTGACCCCTAGGAAAGTGTGGAGTTTGTCCTGTGTAGTCCATTCATGTAAATGCAACCAAAGCTAAACAAAATGCATGTTCTCACTACACGATGCTCTCTGATACATTCTGTGTAATCTGTCTTCATATTCAAAAAGATGTTAGTTGTAATCCACTGAATTGATTTCATGATAATTCACAAGTTGTTTAAAGAGCTTGAAATACACTACCCTAGCTGATCACAGACTTATATTTTAGTGTGTTTTTATCTAATAAATTGTCTCTAATTCCAAAGCAGACTCTGCAGAAAATATACATATTATTCAACTCCAGGTTCTTAACAAAGCGAAGGAGAGACAACTGGACAGCTTAGTTGAAAAGCTGAATGACAGTGAACGCCAGATTCGGTATCTGAACCACCAGCTTCTAATAATCCAAGGTGAGGTGGCCGCTGGCTTGGGGCCTTTTCTGCCGCACGAGAGCTGGGCAGTTGGTTTCTAAAAAATTCATTTTATTCTGTTCTAGCTTCTTGTACTTTTCATTTCTAGTACCCTCATTTGAGCTGGGCAGAGGGCTCACGTGAGTCGGAGCAGATCCCAAGCCCTGGCAAGACTTCTGTGACCAGGCATTTTCTTTTTTCCTTTCCTCTCATTTTGTTGACACCCCCGCTTCCCAGGTGTTAGATTCAGAGAGTGTGGGCGTTATTGAACTGCTGACGGCCTTACATCGTTACCTTGGTACCGCTTCCCTTAGAGCTGACATGTGTGGTTTGCGGTGCAGTAGAACTTAGGGACCCTTGTTGTCATTTCTGTGTAATCATCTGGAGGACACAGAGCAGGTCTGATTGCTTGTTCTGTGCTCCAGCTGTAGTGTTACTCCATTTGTGGAATAATTTTATGACTGCATTCCATCCCATTTCAAATGTAACTGGTCGTGAAACAAAAGCTCTATCTGTGATGCTCACAAGATCTTTTTGGAGAGAAGAATTTGTGAAATGTTACGGAAGGACCGAAGACTGGGGGATTCAAGAGTTCCTTACAAGGATGTGAAGGAGTGATTAGTCCCAGATGCCTTGTTTTGTGAGTGAGGGTCTCACTGTGTGGTCCTCTTGAGTACTGGGATCAGTACTTCTCACTGAGTAGTCCTCTGAGTACTGGGATCAATACTTCTCACTGGGTAGTCCTCTGAGTACTGGGATCAGTACTTCTCACTGTGTAGTCCTCTGAGTACTGGGATCAGTACTTCTCACTGGGTAGTCCTCTGAGTACTGGGATCACAGCTGTGTCCAACTATGACCTGCTCTAGGGAACCATTTTGATTGGCACAAGCTTGTATCTGTGAAGCTGCTTCTTTTTTTTTTTTGGCTTTTCGAGACAGGGTTTCTCTCTGTAGCTTTGCGCCTTTCCTGGATCTCGCTCTGTAGACCAGGCTGGCCTCGAACTCACAGAGATCCGCCTGCCTCTGCCTCCCAAGTGCTGGGATTAAAGGCGTGCGCCACCACCGCCGCCCAGCCTGTGAAGCTTCTTAAGTGAGCAGATGCTGGAAGTATTGGGAATCTTTGTGGTGAAGGTTCTTTGAAGTAATTTGGGTGTTAATTAAAAAAAAATTTTTTTTTGTTTTTTGTTTTTCTCTGAAGCAACTAAAACTCATTTTTCTGAATTGAATTTCATTCAGATATAGATATCATAGAGGTTGTGACAGTTATGGTCCCACAACAGTGACAGTATTTATGTAAATATCTTTCATGCTCCAGATGAGAAGGATGGCTTGACCCTCAGCCTTCGGGAATCCCAGAAACTCTTTCAGAATGGAAAGGAAAGGGAGATCCAGCTTGAGGCACAGATAAAAGCGCTAGAGACCCAGATCCAAGCATTCAAAGTCAGTGAAGAAAAGGTAAGCTTTTACCTTTATTCAACAGAACTTCAGTTTGGGGACTGAGCCGTGACTCAGCAGCCAAGAGCACTGGCCACTCTTCAGAGGACCAGGGTTCGGTTCCCAGCATCCACATAGCAGCTTGCTACAACTTGCTACAATCTTCTGTCCCAGGGTTCCAACCCCTCTTCTGGCCTCTGTGGGCACCAGGCATGTGTGGCTCACAGACATACATGTAGGCAAAACACTCACAGATTAAACAAACAAACAAACAAACAAATACATAGAATTAAAAGAACAAAAACCTTTTAGTTTGTAGAAGACTACATTCAGAAGAACTTCGTGTGACACACGTCCTGCTACCTGGGATCCTCTGTTCTCCTCCGTGGGTACCAGGGGGAGGTGGCAGTTCTCCATTGGTATCAGGGGGAAGTGGGAGTTCTCCGTGGGCACCAGGGGGAGGTGGCAGTTCTCCATGGGTACCAGGAGGAGGTGGCCGTTCTCCGTGGGTACCAGGAGGAGGTGGCCGTTCTCCGTGGGTACCAGGAGGAGGTGGCAGTTCTCCGTGGGTACCAGGGGGAAGTGGCAGTTCTCCGTGGATACCAGGGGGAGGTGGCAGTTCTCCGTGGATACCAGGGGGAGGTGGCAGTTCTCCGTGGATACCAGGGGGAGGTGGCAGTTCTCCGTGGGTACCAGGGGGAGGTGGCAGTTCTCCGTGGGTGCCAGGGGGAGGTGGCAGTTCTCCGTGGATACAGTATCTGTCCTTTTGGAGCATCATGTTCTTCCTTCAAGTCTCTTAGCTCCTCTAGTTTTACTGTTCCTGCAAATTATGGCCACCTGGATAATATTGCCAGAATATAGTTCTAATTTTGTTATTCTTTACTTAAAGGCTTTGCATGACCTACCTTACCTGTGGGACAAGGTGACCTTCTGTCCGTGGGTCATGTCTTCCCTCCTGTCTTGTTTGTATGCCCGCGCACACTGCCTCTTCTTGGGAATGCCTATTCCATGGCTCTTGCCATCTGACTTGCCAACTCCTGCTTATAGCTTTTACCCCGAGTCTCTTTCCTCAGGAGAATTACTTTCTTATAAAAGACGAAGAATACCTCGAAGGCATCATTGGGCTAGCCTCATGCCTGTAGCCATTTAGGCCAGTAGTTGGCGTACAGTTGGTGGTCAGTGTGTGCTGATTGAGTGCTGGTTGAGATGAAACTTAACATGCGCATATTTTCTTTTCTCTTACGTATTTTTCTGTTTCTGTTTGAATACTGTCATGGTGGTGGCTTTGTGGTGTATGTAGCACGAATTGTTAGAAGGTCTTATTAATAAAAACAAACGCAGAGCCAGGTATTGGGGTGAATGCTGAAAGATCAGAGAAACAGAACCAGCCACAGCTAACCTCACCTTGCCAGTTCCTCAGCTGATCCTGTTTCCTCAGACTGAAAGCCTCTGTGTCCTCATCCAAATGGATCTCAGCTGAACTGCTGCTCAAAAGCCTAAAAGCTTAACCAGGATCTAGTTCCTGGTCCTCATGCCTTATATACCTTTCTGCTTTCTGCCATCACTTCCTGGGATTAAAGGCGTGAGTCACCATGCCTGGCTGTTTCCAGTGTGGCTTTGAACTCGCAGAGATCTGGATGGATCTCTGCCTCCAGAATGCTAGGATTAAAGGCATGTGTGCCAGTATTTTCTGGCCTCTGTGTCTATCTAGCGGCTGTTCTGTTCTCTGACCCCAGATACGTTTATTAGGATGCACGATATATTGGGAAACACAATATCACCACAGGTGTATTTTAAAATTGGCAAACAAGGCTTGTCCCCATTCAAAATATTTTGAAAATTTCCCTCACTTTTTTTCTTTTGATTTTGTAAATCAATGTTAACGTTTTATAAAACAAAAATCTAATTGGAATTCTGATTGGGAAGGCACTATACTTTACCATTTTATGCATGTGTGAAGCAGGTCTTAGAATGGCAAATTACTTGCCCAAGGTCATAAAGTCAGTTATTGACAAATGCTGAGAGTGTAAAGATCTTGATCCAAATAATTTCCTTCAGAGTTTCCTCAATTTTTTTGAGTCTCCTTATTTTAACGTTATTTGATTAGTAACTGTAATCCTATCTATAACTTCACATTTATTTATTTATTGATTGCTGTAAAGCCTGCATAATCACAGATTTAGGGCATTGGGAAACCATCTGTGGGTTGTGATGTTACCCACAGTATCAGCTTTGTTTTCAGAACTCTTGATGCTGGAATGTGGTGGCATGCGCTTGTAGTCCTAGCCACTCAGGGGGCTGAGGAAAGGTGATCACTTAGCCTGGGAATTTGAAACCAGCCTGGGCAGACACTGGGATCCTGTCTCAAAAAAGAAAACCAAAAATCTTTTTATTTAGTAAGTGACCATTTGTAGGTTTGCAGTCTTTGAAGGAGCAACACATTTTTCTGTGACCCTACAATTGGGTGGCCCTCCCTTTGCTCATGGAGCCATGCAAACAGTGCCGGGACTGATGTGCAGTAGGACCACTGCTCTTCAGACTCCTCATGTGCCCTCTGCGGGTACTGTGCAGTCTAGTTTTCAGTGAGGAATTGTTCCTAGCAACCGTGGGCGTGTGAGTAGCAGCTGGGGACAGTCTTAAAGAGCAGAGTTAAGATGCTGTCTACATGGCTACCCTGTGTGTGTTTGCTAGTTGACCAAGAAGGCCAGAACCACTGAAGTCACTCTGGAGAGCCTAAAACAGCAGCTGGTGGAGCTCCATCATTCTGAATCCCTTCAGCGAGCCCGGGAACAGCACGAGAGCATTGTCACGGGCCTCACACAGAAGTACGAAGAGCAGGTGCTATCCTTACAGAAGAATTTGGATGCGACCCGAACTGAACTTCAGGAGCAGGTCAGGTGACTCCTAATGAGCAACTATCCATTGAGTAAAGCTGGTTATTTTTTGTAACTGATATTTTGTGGTCCCCCAGTTAGAAATTTTGCTGCTAATGATAGGTATAAAATTGTAACTGAACCCCCCCCCACACACACAAAAAAAAAAAACCAAAAAACACTTTTTTTTTTGAATCATGAATATATCTGAAACCCTAATCTTGGGTACTTTTCCTGCAGGATCGATTGGTACCTTCTCAGACCTCAGAGTGCTAGTCAAACTTTAGTTTTTATAATGTTTATACATATTCATATTCTTGAAGAGTAAATGCCAACTGAAAGGAATGGGTGTACCGCCACAGACCAGAACCTGGGGTTGACCCAGCAGCCTTTTGTAGGTCTCTGGACATTTGCCTCTCCTTAAAGAGTGTAGAGTAATGGTTCTTTTGAGAATAGAAATTGGCTATCTGGAGTCCAGTATTCTGATGGCTGACAGATGCTTCAAATAGAAAATTTTATACCAAACCTCTAGGTCACAGTATAAGAAAAATCTTTGGACTGAGTGTATTATGTATATATATGTCTTGGCTAGTTTTTATGTCAACTTGACATAGCTAGAGTCATCTGAGAGGAAGGAACCTCACTTGAGAAAAATGCCTCTATAAGGTCAGGCTGCAGGCAAGCCTGTAGGCATTTTTAAAATCAGTGATTGATGGAGGAGGGCTCAGCCCATTGTGGGTGGGGCTACCCCTGGGCTGGCGGTCCTGGATTCTATAAGAAAACAGGCTGAGCAAGCCATGAGGAGCAAGCAGCACTCCTCCATGGCCTCTGCGTCAGCTCTTGCCTCCAGGCTCCTGCCCTGTTTGAGTTCCTTCCCTGACTTCCTTTGATGGTGAACAGTGATGTGAAAGTGTCAGCCAATAAGTGTAAACCATTTCCTCTCCAAGTTGCTTTGGTCATGGTGTTTCATCACAGCGGTGGAAACCCTGACTAAGACAATAACAACATTAAGTAAATTTCGTGTTTAATCTTGAGTCTTATTCCAACATACATATATGGGTTTTCAGATTTTCCAGAATTGAAATGTTTCCCATGCTGGACACTCATTCCATATAATGTATAAAATAGGGAAGAAAGTCTGATCTAAACAAACTGCTTGTGATCCTAAGCTCCAGCTTATTTCACAGTCGACTTTTGTAATTGTATCCAAGGAGTGAGTATTGAAAGCTCAGAGTGCGTCAAATGGCAGGGTTACTTGCCTTGTGTCCAGAACCTGAGGTTGAATCAATACAGCTTCAGAATGAATTTTTCCTACTATAGTTTAAGAACTAATTTAACCCAAGAGAAAAGGAGAAGAAACTAAGGTGAGGGTATGACAAACCTCCCACACCCGAAGTTCACTCTGATTTGGGTTATCTATCTCTGACTTCCATGGCCGACCTGCCTTTTCCCACGTTTGGTAGACCTAGTATGGCAGAATAATTGTTTGTGTGACATTTTACTTCATTATTGTTTCTATTTTATATATATATATATATATATATATATATATATATATATATATATATATATATATATATATATATATATATATATATATATATATATATATATATATATATATATATATGCTTTATGACCCAGTCTCACGTAGCCCAAGCTGTCCTCAAACTTGCTAAGTAGCTAAGGGTGACTTTAAACTTTGGATCCTCCTGACATTGCTGCCTGAGTGCTGGGGTTGTGGGCATGCACCACCATGCTCTGTTAGTGTGATGCTAGGGTTGTGGGCATGCACCACCATGCTCTGTTAGTGTGATGCTAGGGTTGTGGGCATGCTCCACCATGCTCTGTTAGTGTGATGCTGGGGTTGTGGGTATGCTCCACCATGCTCTGTTAGTGTGATGCTGGGGTTGTGGGCATGCACCACCATGCTCTGTTAGTGTGATGCTGGGGTTGTGGGGCATGTACTATGCTTCATGTTTGGTGCATGTTTGGCCAGCATTCTTCCAACTCATCCCCAGTCCATTTTATTTTTATGTGTATTTATGTGTTTTGTTCAATTTATTTATATTTTTTCCCTTTTACATGAAAACTATTGTGAATTTGATCATAATGGTTTCTAGGGATGGGAAAAGATAAAGGCTATGCCCAACCATTGAAGAGTCTGCTTTATAGAAATTAACTAGAATTTGGGGTACAGGGTTTTTTTGCTATTTTACCTTTTTTTTTTGCCAATTGTCTAAAGAATTTTTATTTATCTAATTTTTAAATAAACTTTATTATAAAAAAAATCACACACCAAAATTAAGCAGACCCAAAGTCTATACATCTCAGTGACCTTCTATATAGTTAGAAGACAGTTCTTATTTTACTTTAAAATGTTTATTTATTCATATTGCCTTTGGTATCAAACACAGTGGTATTATAGCCGTTGGTGGTGGTACTTGGCAGATTTAGGAAAATGGAGTCTGTCAGCTCCCGTGGAGTGTTTGGCGAGCTTTGCCTCCGCTGCCTTGACACTGTCTCACTGGGAGGGGTGGGAGGATTCCTGGTGTGTTCGGAACCCTTTCTTGTAGGAACGGTTGGTACAGATGTGGCAGACCCGAAAACGGTTCTCAGGACACCCTCCCTGGATCTTCCCACTCTAGTACCACCAGTCCCCTCCAGCCTGTGTTATCACAGGACAGGGAAGGAGTTGGAGCCTGTGCCTCTGGCTTCTTACCTGTCCCCATGCCTGCCATCACCACTTGAGAAGAGGGACCTCAGACTGAAGATAGAACCGAACCTTGGTCTGTGCCGAGTGGACTTCAGGTTCCAAACCTGAGCTGTATTTACTGTGGCTTATCCCCACCGTGGGGTGTTTTTTATGGTCTCCCCTTTGTAAACGTGTTATCAATTGGCTCCGCAGTACTTGTACCAATCTGTATTTTATAATCCAGCTGGTATTCCTTTGGAAGAGTGCTACCAAAGGCAGGTTTACATCAGAAGTGAAAGATAAAGAATCTCCCACGACTTCACCTCCTCCTGCCCTCTGTGATTAGTGTTCCTTCATTCTCAACACGCTCTCACTGTAGTGGCGATGTGTGGAACCCTTCATATAAACTTAAGATACTCAGTTTGTTGACACAAAGTAGCTTGCTGGCATGCTGAGAGTACACAGACTCTGTAGGTCTCTTTGGGAGCAAGTGGTATCTTGATGATACTGAGTGTTCCCGTTGTAAACATAGAGTGGTTACAGTTATATAGGTCTTTATTGATTTCTTCAGAGTGTTGTAGTTTTGTCCAACTAGATCTTATAAATGTTTTACGTTTCTGCTAAAGACCCTCGTTTTGGAGTGGCGTTGTAATGACATGGCTTCTTTAAATTTCAAGTTCTACTTGCACATTGTGGTGTATGGGAGGGTGATTTCCCCTATTAGCACACACCACAACTCTTGTGCAATTGCTTATTAGTTTTAGTAGGTTCCCTCCTTCCGATTTTCCGTGTAGGAGATTGTATCATTGATAGACAAAGAGATTTACTCTGTTCTCTGTAGTTTGTATTCCTTCTGTTTCATTTTCTTACCGTAGTTCATTGGCGAGAACTTCCAACATGCTGCTCAAAGGCAAGAAGGGACATCCCTTCCCTAGTCCTCATCTTTGTGGGAAAGCTTCAGGTTTTCCTGTTAAATATGCTAGATTTAGATTTCTTTCTCCTTTTAAAGAAAAATTGAGAAAGTTTTTTTTTGGTTTTTTGAGAAAGTTCTTAAGACTTATTTTTCTTTTAAATCACGGATGGAGGGCTGGAGAGATGGCTCAGAGGTTAAGAGCACTGACTGCTCTTCCAGAGGTCCTGAGTTCAATTCCCAGCACCCACATGGTGGCTCACAACCCTCTGTAATGAGATCTGGTGCCCTCTTCTGGCCTGCAGAAATACATGCAAACAGAACATTGTATAATAATAAATAAATAAATCTTTAAAAAAAAAAAATCACGGATGGGTATTAGTTGTATTTTGAAAGAGCATTCCACACAGAGACTGCTAATTGCATGTAACAGGAGGCGCGACCCTAACACAGCAGAGCTTTTTTAATGTCTGTGTACCTAGTGCAATTTGAGAAATACATGGTTATAGCATATTATTAACTTAATGCATTCCTTAAACATCAGATTTTCAATGTAGAAAAGACTGTATGTACAACATTGTAACAATTCAAAACTGTTGGGACCTCTAGACTAGCAACTGGAGGGTCTCGCCACCCTTTCACGACAAGCATTCGTACTGCGTTCCTGTTAGCTCCATAGTGCGTCAGCCATGATATACCAGCTCCTTAGAGCTGTGCTTCCCAAGCTGGCCTGGGAAACAGCAGCAGCATGCCAAGAAGTTTGCAGCACTAAACAAACAGGGACTGCTTTCCAGAAGCTTCATTTTGCTAAAAATTTGGTAGAAAAAATTTAAAGCAAACACAGCTGCACTATGACATAGAAAATTCACAGGATTTTAAAGCAAAGCGAGAGCCTTCAGAGAGAGCCCTTTCCTTTGCACGGGGACACGCCCAGATCTTTTGCATTTGGGCATCCCTGTATTCATGTCGAGAGGGTTGCCGAGATTTAGGCTGTGCTGGGGAATCTGGTTCCAAAGGCCCACGTGTTCTTACTTCAGAGCTCTTGCTAATGGTTTTCTTAGGGCTTCTCAGGAAGTTTAAGACGGTTGCTAGCTACACTGATTCTCCTGCCTCGTCCATGCTTTGAGTGACATTCAGCCCGAGTGGCTTTTAGGTGAGAAGTGATGATTGTTACAGTGATGGTTTCTTCAAATTCCCATGCTTTCTTATTTCCAAATATGTTTTCTTTGTGGAGAAATATTTGCACAGTACCTTTCTTTCTCCATGTATGTATGTAGGCAACACAGATCCTTGTCCCCCAGTGTATATTTTTTATATATCCTCATACAGTCACACCAAACAATTACCATGTCTTTTTTTTTTGTCATTAATTTTTCAAGTATTCATTATAATGCTTGGTATGCATAACATGCTGAAGAGATGCCTTCAGGAGACAAGGGAAATAAGATGTGTAAAAGGTAGGAAGAGGAATGTAAGAGAAACAGGTCAAATTGAAAAGGAACTTGGAGGAGGGACAGATTATTTTTGGCTGCCCTGAACCGAATGAGCCTTTGGCTGCTCAGAATAGAGTTTCCATGTGTTCATCTGTTTCCTTGTCTGAGGATACGGATTCTGTGACTCAAAGTGGTTTGCCTGCATTTGTATATATGCATTAACACAGCATAAAATGCAAACAGGACTGTAATATATTTCCTTTGGCATGAGTAAAATCTGACTTTAGAATAACAGTATCTTACAGATGTCCATTGTTAGCTGGGCCTCCCCTCAGGTCACATGTGAACAGGTCAACCCTGTACAAGAGATCACACTACCAGGTGATGATTTTACGTTGGACACTTTAATTTCTACTAAAACTGATTGTGAAAATGACTTGTTGACTTCGGTTTAGGAAAGCGTTTGCGCTCGTTTAAAGGATCACGTGCAGCAGCTGGAGAGGAATCACGAAGCTGTCAAATTAGAGAAGACTGAGCTCATTAACAGGCTGACGAGAAGTCTAGAGGACAGTCAGAAGCAGTGTGCCCACCTGCTGCAGTCAGGTGCGTGTCTTGTGGAGGGTCCCACAGAGGCTACTGGGATACGTGTACCGGGAAAGCAAACTTGTTCTTCAGGACCACCAGCTCACAAATAATGACATGGAGACTTCTTATTAATTATGAAAGCTTGACCTTAGCTTAGGCTTGTTGTCAGCTAGTTCTTATAACTTAAATTAACCCATATTTTGTAATCTACATTCTTCTACGTGGCTCGGTTACCTTTACTCTGTACTGCCCTCCTGTCTTTCACATCTGGCTGGCGACTCTGCCTTTCCTCCTCTCTGAAATCTTTGTCCCCAGAAGTCCTGCCCAATCTCTTCCTGCCTAGCTAATGGCCATTCAACTCCTAATTAAACTAATCACAGTGACACATCTTCACACAGTGTAAAGGAATATTTCACAACAGTACAGAACATAGCTGGATTCCTGTTATCATGTGTGTGGGTGTGTGGGCTTGCGCTGCATGCCATGGTTGTAGGACAGAGGACAACCTTCATGGTCTGGAACTCACACTCACGTTGTCTTGCCACCACTTCATGACACGAATTTCAAGAGCTTTTCCCCACTGAGCCGTCTCACCAGCCCAGATCCCAAACTATACAAAGCCAGAGGAGACAGAAGTCCACCAGTGACGGATTCCTTTAGCGAGGATTATATGTGCAGTTCCTGTTAAAGGGTTTCTTTTTGTTACACAATCTGGAAAAATCCAAACAAGTGTACATTCCAAATAAAAATCGCCAGCACTCTTCCTCTGAGAAACCTGGGCTGTGATGCCTGAACCTGCTTCCTGCGGAGGAAAGGACCGCACATGCCAGGCAGGGCTCTGCTCCCAAAGACGAGGTTCTGTCTCAGCCATCTTTGATTATAAGATCTCACTGTATTTGCCATTTTAGACCCAGTATTTGATTAAATAATTGTCATTTTGTTTACCTTCAGTTTTTCATCCCCTCACCATGGGTCAGTTACTTACCTGGACAGCGAGTTAAATTTTTGTCACTGTTAAGATTTCTAGTGTGGCCTCTGTGGTATTTGAGACATGCTTCTGATGCTTTTCATGGTAGTGATACTTTTAATTATTATTTTTATAAGATGATGTTAAAGGCAATTAAATGTCAATGTTGATACGCAGACTGTTGAACAGACTAAATCATCCTAATTTCTGGTTGACAAAATCAATTTTTTTTATTAACTAAGGTACAAGTCACATTTTGGCATATGAACTAGTTAGACGATTGGGACAGTGTGTAGGAATGTAGTTTAATCATACTGTGAAAGTACTGAAGTGAAAGGCTGCCTATGGATGTGTGTTTGCTGAGGGACCAGATTTGGACCCTTCCTGTTTAGGCTCTCCTCCAACCCTGCCTGGCTACAGATCCATTTGCCCTTGCCATGACCTGGTGAGTCTTTTCCTTGGCTATTAAAGGCTTTGAAAGTAGGATTTTCTTTCCTTTTTTTTTTTTTTGATTTTTCGAGACAGGGTTTCTCCATGTAGTTTTGGTGCCTGTCCTGGATCTCGATCTGTAGACCAGGCTGGCCTTGAACTCACAGAGATCCGCCTGGCTCTGCCTCCTGAGTGCTGGGATTAAAGGCGTGCGCCACCACCGCCTGGCTTCCCTCAGTTATTTCTGAGAGGCCTGTTTTCATTTAAGGAAACCCTCAAATGACCCTCTGCACTAGAATCTCTCCTAGTACATTTAGAGTATTAGTTTGTTGGGGATGGAGAAATGGCTCAGAGGTGAAGAGCACTTCCTGCTCCTGCAGAGGACAAGGGTCCAGTTCACAGCACCCATGGGGCTCACAACTGCTTGTGGCTGACTGGGCTCACAGGGTCCGATGTTCCAGTTGCCCAGGCCTTGAGCTCCTTGAGTATAAATCTCAGAAACACGTGGGCCAGACTTAGGTCTCTAAGGTCTCCCATGGCTCCCTGTCTACATGGCTCTAAAGTCAACAGTGAAGCAGACTCCACCTTGCGCCTCGGTGGATCCCGGGTTTGTAGATGTGGTGCTTGGTCTCCTTTCAGTTACACATTGTTGTTGGTTGTTTTTTACTCTCACTCTTTTGGCTCTTTGGCTCTTACTCTTTGGAGGGTCCACCATCCAGCTCCCAAATAAATCACACAGAGGTTTATTCTTACTTATGAATGCCTGGCCTTAGCTTGGCTTGTTTCTAGCCAGATTTTCTTAAATTATCTCATCTACTTTTGCCTCTGGGCTTTTATCTTTCTCTATTCCATATACTTTTCTTTACTTCTTATTCCGTGGTTGGCTATATAGCTGGGTGGCTGGCCCTGATGTTCTCCTTTCCTTCTCTTCTCGCTCCTTGGTCTTTTCTTCCCAGATTTCTCCTCCTATTTATTCTCTGCCTGCCAGCCCTGCCTATCCTTTCTCCTGCCTTGCTGTTGACTGTTTAGCTCTTTATTAAACCAATTAGGTATTTTTAGACAGGCACAGTAACACAGCTTCATAGAGTTAAACAAATGCAACTTAAAAGAATGCAACACATCTTTGCATCATTAAACAAATGTTCCCCAGAATAAACAGATGTAACACAAATTAATATTCCACAACAACATATCCTATGACTCTCTCTTGCAGGCTCCATGCAGGAGGTGGCTCAGCTACAGCTACAGTTGCAGCAAGCACAGAAGGCCCACATCTTAAGTGAGAGCATGAATAAGGCTTTGCAAGTGAGTGCTGTCTCTTGGAAGAGACTTAGGCAATGTTACAGCACCTTTTTTGAACCTTAGGTTTCTCTGTGTAATAAGAGTGACTGGACCTTCTTCAGACCAGCCCAGGAAAGTTTTTCAAGATCTCACCCATACCACACCACTGTTAGTTAGACTTAGGTGTTCCAGCCCAGTTCTCATGAACTGCAGAGCCAAGCCTCTGCCTCCTGCCAGTCTGTCCATGTCTCTCCTGCCTCTGCAGGTGTATCCTGGGGATCAGGGCATCTACAGTCTGCAGGTGTATCCTGGGGACCAGGGTATCTACAGTCTGCAGATGTATCCTGGGGACCAGGGTATCTACAGTCTGCAGGTGTATCCTGGGGACCAGGGTATCTACAGTCTGCAGATGTATCCTGGGGACCAGGGTATCTACAGTCTGCAGGTGTATCCTGGGGACCAGGGCATCTACAGTCTGCAGGTGTATCCTGGGGACCAGGCATCTACAGTCTGCAGGTATATCCTGGGGACCAGGGCATCTACAGTCTGCAGGTGTATCCTGGGGACCAGGCATCTACAGTCTGCAGGTGTATCCTGGGGACCACGGTATCTATAGTCGGCAGGTGTATCCTGGGGACCAGGGCATCTACAGTCTGCAGGTGTATCCTGGGGACCAGGCATGTACAGTCTGCAGGTGTATCCTGGGGACCAGGCATGTACAGTCTGCAGGTGTATCCTGGGGACCAGGCATCTACAGTCTGCAGGTGTATCCTGAGGACCAGGGCATCTACAGTCTGCAGATGTATCCTGGGGACCAGGCATGTACAGTCTGCAGATGTATCCTGGGGACCAGGCATCTACAGTCTGCAGATGTATCCTGGGGACCAGGATATCTACAGTCTGCAGATGTGTCCTGGGGACCAGGGTATCTACAGTCTGCAGGTGTATCCTGGGGACCGGGTATCTACAGTCTGCAGGTGTATCCTGGGGACCAGGGTATCTACAGTCTGCAGGTGTATCCTGGGGACCAGGCATGTACAGTCTGCAGATGTATCCTGGGGACCAGGGCATCTACAGTCTGCAGGTGTATCCTGGGGACCAGGCATCTACAGTCTGCAGATGTATCCTGGGGACCAGGGTATCTACAGTCTGCAGATGTGTCCTGGGGACCAGGGTATCTACAGTCTGCAGGTGTATCCTGGGGACCAGGGTATCTATCTACAGTCTGCAGGTGTATCCTGGGGACCAGGGTATCTATCTACAGTCTGCAGGTGTATCCTGGGGACCAGGCATCTACAGGTGTAGGGAATATTTAGTTGGAATGTGATTCTCTCACAGCCTCCACCACTTTAATTTCCCTGAAAGGTAAGGAAGATGCTGGAGAGGACTTTTAGTGTTGCCTTGGCTGAAGGAAGCGCTCTGCCTGTTGATCATGCCGTCAGAGCATAGCCCGCCCCTGGCTCAGCTATCTATTTTGTCCTCTGCTACAGTGAGGCTAGAACACCAGAGGTATCCCAGCTAAGGGTTTTTGTTTTTGTTTTTTGTTTTTGTAAATAAGAGGGTTGTGGAAAGAACTGCCTGTCTTTGCTTTCTCATTCATTTGGTTTATTTGAAAATATGGCAGGAACTGGCCTTCATGAAGTTATATAGAATGAATGTTAAGAATATATTTGAAGAGGCTTTTCTGCATTCTACTGATCATTAAAATAAAGTTTGAAACATAGAATGACTGATTTTTTTAAAAAAGGTTTATTTATTATGTATAGTGTTCTGTCTGCATGTATGCCTGCAGGCCAGAAGAGGGCACCAGATGTCATTACAGATGGTTGTGAGCTACCATGTGGTTGCTGGGAATTGAACTCTTGACCTCTGGAAGAGCAGCCAGTGCTCTTAACCCCTGAGCCAACTCTCCAGCCCAAATGACTGATTTGTTATCCAGGAAACTAATGAAAGTTGTTTTTGATAATTTCGTTCTAGGAGGAATTAACAGAGCTTAAAGCTGAGATTTCTCTCTATGAGTCTGCTGCAGACCTCGGAGTACTTCCAGGTGACTCAGAAGGGGACTTGAGTATAGAGCTCACTGAATCGTGTGTGGACTTGGGCATTAAAAAAGTCAATTGGAAACAATCCAAAGCTAACAGGTACTGCATGAATAGTAGAAGACTGTTAATAAAGCTGGTGATGGAGGCATGGGAGATGGGTGGCACCATGCAGAAGATAAAGTCCCGATTAGAGGGCGTCAGTGTGTTTTAGAAATTTTTAATGGAATATAAATAAATGCCTGAAAAGCCAAATGAACAGAAATCTGAAGTATTAATATTGTGCTTGTAGTCCTCATCATTTAGGTAGACGCCAGTTATTGGAAGCTAAGGAGGGGATTATGAAGTTAAAATACCCAGATTATGGGGCTGGGGAGATGGCTCAGTGGGGATGCTGTGCAGGCATGAGGACCTGAGTTCAAATCCCCAGCACCCAGCACTGTGGGAGGTTGAGACAGGAGGATGGCCGAGGGTTGCTGGCCACTCAGCCTAGCTCCAGGTTCAGTAAGAGACCTTGTTTCAAGGGAAGAAAGTGGAGAGTGATAGAGCAGGACACCTGATTGTTGCTAATGTTTTCCTGCCTGGTCCACAGTCAGGACAAACCTCTCTCACCCGCCAGTTCCACAGCCTCTCAGACCCGACCAAGTAAACACAGAGACTTATATTTGTTTCAAACTGTATGGCCGTGGCAGGCTTCTTGCTAGCTGTTCTTACAGCTTAAATTAATCCATTTCTATTAATCTATACCTTGCCACGTGGCTCATGGCTTACCGGCATCTCTTGTCCTGATGGCGGCTGGCAGTGTCTCTCTGACTCAGCCTTCCACTTCCCAGCTCTATTCTCCTCCTTGTCCCGCCTACACTTCCTGCCTAGCCAATGGCCAATCAGTGTTTTATTTATTGACCAATCAGCAACACATTTGACATACAGACCATCCCACAGCACCTGATACACAAGTGTGGGAGCACACACCTGTGTGCATACATGTGCACACACCACACATACACTCCACAAATATACAGACTATGTGTTTGAACTATTGAGATAAATGCCTGTTGTTGTTAATGTTAGCCTTGTATGTTAAAAACACTTGTCTTGTGTTAATCAGTCATCTGTGAGAAAATAAGTTTGGCAATGGCATTGCACTCTCCTTGGAACCTGCCTGAGATCTTCAATAACGTTTTGGGTTGATTCTGTTGGCCATCTTTTGCCTTCGTGTATGCATATGCACATGCTGGTGTCCATAGAAGTTAGAAGGGTGTCAGATCCCTTGGAAATGGAGTCATGGATGGTTGTAAGCTACCACGTAGGAACTGGGAACTGAACCTGGGCCCTCTGCAAGAGCAGCCAGTGCTCTTAACCACTGAGCTGTTTCTCCAGCTCTGAGATCTCACTTTTAAAACAGGGGTTCTTTTATGCTACTGTTATTGTAGATATTTTACCAGTCACATGGGCAAGGGTGATGGAGAGGGAGTGGAGAGGGTTGAAGGGTTAGTTATAGGCATTCAATGGATGGTCTATACACTTGGTGAACTTTGCATCCTTGCTCCATGGAAGGTGCTTTGTGAGGTCCTGAAATAGGTTACAAAATATCCAATAGACCTGCCCTTTCCCCAAGGAGTTTGCAGTTGGCCTGGCCGGAGGAAAGGAGACATACCCAATAAGCAGCCAAGTGCTGTTTGGTCAGTGCTGGGCTTACCTGGAGGGTTTATCTGTTCCCCTGCTGGTTTAGGCTAAAGCAAGTGCTGCTTTTACTGAGGAATGGAGCCTAGGACCTCGCTCACTCAAAGAGCCATATCACCGACTTACACTTCCAACGCTGAAGAAAGTGTTTCTTGAAGCATTGACCTCCACCACACTGACTGTCCACTGTCCTTACTGAGTTGTTTGACACGTGTTGTGTCTCAAGTATTAAGCAACCGAGTACAAAGCTAAGTCTCCTGACAAGTTCCCCTTTAATGGCCTCCGGGAAGATTGCATTTTAACATTGCCATTTTAGTTGTAGAGCAGTAAGATGGGATTTAGTTGGTTGGACTCTGTAGACAAATTTCTAAACGGTCTTAATAAAAAACACGGAGCCAGAAATTTGGGTTAAATTTCTGCGAGAAAGATCAGAGGACTAGGACAAACCACGAGCCACCTCACCTCACCAGCTCCACAGCTTCCAGAAAGAGCGTCTTCCTGTATACTCACGGTTATATGCCTTTCTGTTCTGTTCTCTCATTGGCTCTCTTAGCCCAGCTACATCGCTTCCTCTTCCTATATAGCTCTGTCACTTTCTGTCTGTCTGTACAGACCTCCAGACCTCTATGGTTGGTACTGGGATTAAAGGCATATATCTCCAAGGTTGGCTCTGTTCCCTAGTGTGGCCTTGAACACACAGAGATCCTGCCTGCTAAGTGATTCGATTAAGGGCATGTGCTACCATTGCCTGACTTCTTTGTTTACTTATAATGGCTGGCCTTTTTCCTCTGATCTCCAGGCAAGCTTTATTTATTAAAGCACAAATAAAATATCACCACAGAAATCTAAAGTAATGAAGTGATACTGCAAAAGAAAATGCTGTTATTTAGCTTAGTAAGACTCCGTTTACCTGAGTGTCTTGTCTTCAGGCTCTCATCTCTACAGATGACAGCCTAGAGGTAAGCAAAGAAGAAAATAGTGGAACTAGACTGATGTTTTTGGTGGAAGTCATCCTCAGGCTCTTATCTAGGCTCATGTGACCCATATTTCTTTCCATCCCATAATTACCTGGTATGGATGCAGTGGGGGAACTGCTGTCAGCTCAGCCTTAGCAGAGGTGTGGAAAGCCCAGCAGTGGCAAAGGGGCTCTCAGTGTGAGTACTTTGACCCACTGACATGATGTTGAGCAAAGGCTTCCACTATGGTTGTCGAACAAAAGTATTTGATTCCTTTTATACCTAGGTACTTACAAATTTAAAGTTATAGGTAATCATCTTGAAAACAGACTTTGCTGTGAATGCCTCAGTTCTTGTCAGTGCCAAATGAGTTCTCAGGGACTAGTGGAAGCGTAGGCTTCAGATGCAGGATGGTTTGCAGCACAGCGTTGCCCTTATTGCTAGGTAAGTGGCCTTATGCCAATTCGTTAGCTCTCTCTGAGCGTGCTTTGTTGTTTTTGCTCTTTCTTGGAGCTTAAAGTGAGAATTAAAATAGATAATGAACGTGAGTCTCTTGGAATATGACCTAGCTAAAAAATGATAGCTGTTTCTGTTATTTTATACATTGTTGGTTAAAATATGCCATTGGTCAAATTTTACATTTATCAACTTTGAATTCAACACATACTTCTTAAAGCATTTTGATCCTCAATTTTGTGACTAATGTTGGCTCTACTGGAGCACAGAGAGGTGAATCACTTGGCTCAGGTAGTCACTGGTGCCGCCAGGACGTGAACTCCAATCTCTGTAGACCTGGTCTAGTTTTCTGTTCATATTTACGTAATAGTCAAGCCTTTTGCCTTTAAACTTCATTCTTCTTTATCTCTCTTATGTTGAAGATTAAAGATATAGTTCATTCAAAAATATTTTTCTCCAGTTTGTTATTACTTTTATTTTAGTTTGTGCTGTGGTTGGCCTTGGAATTGAGTGATGAATACATCCACATTGAACTCTTTCAGTAGACACATTTCATCTTTATCCATTAAAATGAATTCTAACTTTTGTGCCTTTTGTTTTTTGTTTTTTGTTTTTTTTTTCCTTAAGGTAGGATATTGCTGTGTATCCCAGGTTGGCTTCAAATGCACAATTTTGCCCTGGACTCCCAAGTACTGGGATTATTGACATGCACTACCTTGCCTAGCTACCCTTGTCATTTCTATTTACATAACATTCATAGCCACAATATAGAAATTCTTTTTGTTTGGTTTTTTTTTTGAGACAAGGTTTTTCTGTGTAGATTCGGAGCCTTTCCTGGAACTCACTGTAGACCAGGCTGGCCTCGAACTCACGGAGATCTGCCTGGCTCTGCCTCCCGAGTGCTGGGATTAAAGGTGTGCACCACCACTGCCTGGCTCATAGAAATTCTAATGTATGTTCCTATAGCTAATAGACTCGGGGCATCTCATCATTATTATAAAGAAATGACTGAGCCACTCAGCTGGGAAAGTGGAGAATGACTGAACCTGAGTGGGTAGTTGGTGAGAGCTCTGGAAAAACCATCAATAACCTCAGCATCTAGCTCAGAATCCTCTCAGACACCAGTAGTTAGTAGTTGATTGTCCATGTTTGAGAAGCATTTTCCTGTCAAATTTCAAGAAAGAAGAAATTTGTACTTTTCTTGCAGTGAACTGATTTGTTGAATAAAAGGAAGCAAATTTTCCCCGTGTGAGTTATTTTTTTCTGGAGCTGCTTCCAAATCACTGACCCAGGTATCGGTGGCTCCCAGCTTTCATTACCAACCACCACCTCCTTCGGCTACTGCTTAGTAAACTTTAAAGGTTTAGCCACCTCAGTGTTCTATTTTACATTCATGGAATCTGAGTAGCTAATTCTGTACACGGCTTGCAGACGACTTCCTCTCTCCATTATTATAGTTGGCTGCTACACTCAAATAATAAACATTTACCAAGTGGAATGCCCTTTTCCTTTGGTCTTCTCAGCAGACTTCATAAGGGACTACAGTTTCTTTGGGTTTCAGGGAACCAGTTTCCATAGGGTGCTGTGGGCCTCAGGCAGAGTGGTCACCTCTCTGACTTTTTTCCTTTCGAGGAAGGAGAGAAATTATTTTATAAGCACTTTCTCTGCTCTCTGATTTGGCTTTCTCTAGGAGTACAAAGTGTTATTTCAGTGGCCTGCTTTCAGTCAGAAGAGGCCTCATTTGCTAGCTGAGTAAAGTGAGGACTCACAGTGTACCATACCATATAGCAGAGTACTTTGTGGTGTTTCCTTTCTTACATAACTTTACCTGTTATAGTTTTTCTACAGAAATATAGTTATTTCTACAGAAATAGAAATGATTTAAATAGGTGAGGTTTAATATGTGCAGACATGCACATAGAGTATATGCATATTGTTACATATATACTGTATCCATCCTGAGGCATTTCATTTATATTGTTAAAAAATAAATTTACCAGCCGGGCGGTGGTGGCGCACGCCTTTAATCCCAGCACTCGGGAGGCAGAGCCAGGCGGATCTCTGTGAGTTCGAGGCCAGCCTGGACTATCAAGTGAGTCCCAGGAAAGGCACAAAGCTACACAGAGAAACCCTGTCTCGAAAAACCAAAAAAAAAAAAAAAAAAAAAAAAAAAAAAAAAAAAAATTTACCTAGTGATTTGTTCATTCTCTCTTCACACATGCACAATATCCTAACATTTCATTTAAAATAATCTGAAATCTTTCCATTTCAGGAGGAAAACTTTAAATCAGCTATCATTATTTCTTTATTAGATAGATTTTTTCTTTTAGAATATTTTGGAAATAGAGATTTATATTTTACACAGTTCTGTATATCAGCTCCCATGCTCCCTATTAACAATTGGTATTGTTGAAGTTAATGAACTAGTATATTTACGTTATCACTAGTGTCTGAGGTTCGCTTGGCTGTCCTTAGTATTTCTCCAGTGTCTATGATTTTAGAGTGTACACTAGCCACTGGGAAACTGTTTAAAACTTACATGACTGTTTCCAATGTAGAAAAGAAGACACTTCTATTGAGAATTTCATACTTGCATACACTATTTTGATCATATTTGTCTTCCCGTCTCCTCCCCTCGTGCTTCCCAGATCCACTCCAACCCAACGCCTGTTTGCTGTTTTGTTTTAAATAAGCCACTGGGTCCAACCTGCTGGCCATATGCTCATGGTGTAGGGCCGTCCACTGAGGCATGGACCTTCCGGGGGCCATTCCGCTAAAGAAAACTGACTCTCTCCAAGAGCCATCGGCTATGAGCAGCTCCTCAGCCGAGAGTGGGGACCTGTGAAGCTCCCCCTTCTTGCTGCAGTAGTGACAGTGATGACTGGCTTGATTGTGTGTAGGCCGTGTACAGGCAGCCACAGCTGCCGAGAGTTCATGAGGGCAGTGGTCCTGTCATGTCACCCCCACACACTAATAATAGAATGACTTTAAAAAAATAGTCTCATTGTAAGCCCTATGCTTAATGAAAATAGAGTTGAGTTTAAAGGCTGGAATACAGCTCAGTGGCAGAACACTTGCTTAGCATGCATGAGGCCAGGCGGTTCAGTCCTTATGACTGTGGAGAGACGGGAGGGGAGGAGGAAGGAGAGAGAAAGGACTTTAGATTGCATTAGCATGGCTTTTGTTTTGGTTTTCTTGTTGCCTGGATTCTGCCAGACTTCTATGTCAGTAAGTTGGAAGAGCTGACAGTAGTTGCTTAGGATAGCTGGTGCTCGCTATTTTTCTCCTCCTCAATATCTGTATTGCCTCATCGAATATTAGCATGCCACATACCCCAAAGTCACAGGTGTGAGCTATGTCCGGGTCAAACTGCTTGTATCTAGGCAGAAAGACTAAGCGGGGAGAATGTCTTCTGAGGAATGAACTTTTGTGCAAAGAAGATGTCCTTGTATATGACAAAGTTCCAGTTTATTTATTTTTGATTTATGTGTACCAGTGTTCTGCCTGCATGTTAGCGTGTGCCCTGCTGAAGTGCCTGGCAACCTTGGAGGCCAGAAGAGGGCATTAGATCCCCTGAAGCTGGAGTTAGTGGTAAGCCACCATGTGCTGAGAATTGAATTCAGGTCTGAAGAGCATCAAATGCTCTTAATCACCATGCCATCTCTTCAACCCTCCAGTTCCAAATCCTTTAACAGAGTTGGGGTGTAGCTCAGTGTTAGAATACTTGCCTAGCATGTATGAGGCACCAGAAAGCAAAGAAACAAAATGTTAAAAATACAGTTGGTCCAAAATGCCCTGACAGTCGAGGCATAAAAAACATGATTACCCGACCGGCGGTAGTGGCGCACGCCTTTAATCCCAGCACACAGGAGGCAGAGCCAGGCAGATCTCTGTGAGTTCGAGGCCAACCTGGCCTACAGAGCGAGATACAGGACAGGCACCAAAACTACACAGAGAAACCTTGTCTCGCAAAAACCAACCAACCCAACAAACAAACAAAACAAAAAAACATTACCGTGTGGTTAGGGCTTTAAAGAATAACTGTGTTTGATTGGTTACTTGATTTAATCCTAAAACTGGCCATTTCCCCATCAGTACTGCACAGCAAGAAGCCCCAAAGGAAGAGCTTTCGAAGGATGAGCTTATCTTGAAGTTGAAAGCTCAAGTTCAGCACTTGCTGAATAGCAACTCCGTGAAGCGTCATCTGGTGTCTCAGCTACAGAGAGATCTCAAAGACTGCCGTGGGATAACAGAAGCTCTCCAGCAGTCGAAGGATGGCTACAAAGGCATGGAGGTGAGGTCCATGGAGCCTGTACAGTTCAGAAGTCCCTTTGAAATGCGCAGTAAAGAAAGCCTTTACGCTTTGTAGAAGTAGTTAAGTTTTTGGTTTCCTGGGGTTCCTTTGACTCCTAGAAGTAAAGCTTACAGGAAAAAAGCCACTTGAAAGGCTGATTTGGCTGGTTCTTGGCATGTAGTAAATGAGTAAATCAGTTAGGTTAAATTCTTTGTTCACAGATGAAAGGAGTACTCTGTAAAAAGCATGTGCATTTTGTCAGCTGGCTTGAACCAACCGTGCTTGAAAACCCTGTTAGTAATCGTGTCCAGTGAGATCCCTCCAGTGGTTCTCAACCTTCCTAACGCTGCGACTCTCTAATACAGTTCCTCATGTGGTGACTCCCAGCCATAAAATTATTTTCATTACTTCTTCATAACTATAATTTTGCTACTGTTATGAATCATAATGTAAATATCTGCATTTTCCAATGGTCTTAGGTGACCCCTGTGAAAGGGTCTTTTGCCCCTCCCCCAATAGGGGTCATGACCCATAGGTGAAAACCTTTGCCTTAGAAGCTCTGCTCCTGAACTCTCCCTGGCTATGTTCTTACAGGAAAGAACTTGTCTCTGTGAGGAAATGGGGTGTATAGCACTGGTCAGTACTTACTTCTGAGTTCTGTCTTTTAAATTTTGAGACAGGATTTCACTCTATAGCCCCGGCTAGCCTTCAACTTGTAATGTTCTGTCTCTGCCCCCTGAGTACTGAGATCATAAGAGTGTGCCACCATACCCCACTTCTGACATCCACCTCAGTACTCTTTAGCCAGTATCTTTGGAGATGAGGATAATGAAGGTAGGGAGTCTGTGGCCCATCTGAGGTTTCACAGTCAATCTTAGGAAACTGAAGTTACCTTATGTGACTGATAGGGTCAGGGTCATTGCCGGAAGCTCCTGTCACCAGATCTTGGGAATGGCTTTTTTCTTCCTCATTTCACAAACTCATCATCTTTACAGCCAAGAAAAATAACGCAGAAATGAATTGATAATTAAGAAAAGAAAATGGAGCATTGAAAGGAATGCAGGGAGCATATTCCTTTTCTTTTGAAGGGGAATAATTTTTTATCTGACAGTTGCTTTTTTATGTCCTGATTCTTAAGCCAGGAGTCCTGTTCATTAAAAAATTCTGTCAAAGTACGTGAGATGTTCTAAGATGCCAATTATTGTGACTTAAAATTTAAAAAATGGTTACCCCCATGACAGATGTGCCACCCCATGACAGATGTGCCACCTCCATGACAGATGTGCCACTACTGCACACATGGGCATCTCTTGCCATGCCAATCGGTACTGTAGTCCACAGTGTTAATAGCTAGCTGAGGGAGACTATTGTTTGATTTTTTTTTTTTCTACCAGCATCCTTCATAGTACCTTCTGGTACTATAAAAGCGAGAAGGTTGGTTTGTTTTCTGTTAAACAATCAAGTCTGGACTGTATTATATGTATTATATGGTGAGTGAGAGTTCATGATCACCTTCGAATGTTGCATGGACTCTTCTTTCCCAAATCTTTATAACAGAACTTTCAATTGGTCTGTAAAGTTAGGAAGCATAATTGGGAAAGAGAGAAAATAATTTAGTTATTCTTTTTTCTAATTTAAGTCTTTATTCATTCTTTGTGAACCCCACATGCATCTCAATCCCATTTACCTCCTCATCCCCCTCATCTGCCCTCTGTCTCTGCAACCTCCCCTCAAAATAAAACAAAATAATATTTATTTAAAAGAAAAGAAAAAGAAAATCTCGTCATGGAAGCTGCCGTGTGACACAGTGAGTCATGTAGTAAACCCTTTGTCCATATAGCTTTACTTGCAAATGTTCATTGCAAAGAGTCACTGGTCCGATTTGAGGCCTTTGGCTTCTGCTACACCATCAATATTGGGCTCTCACTGGGACTCCTCTTGGATATCCTGTTATTGTCCTGCATCTTGGTAGTTATTCATTTTTGTTTTTGAAAAGCTATTATATTTAAGACTTTGTGGGATTCACTGATAATAAAAGTATATAAGGTGCATATTAATATTTAAAAGGCAGTTTGGCTATGTGGAGCCACATATAATTTTAGCACTTTGGGACATCTACAATTAAAAAAAAATTGTTTCTATTAAAAATTCAGCTGGAAGTGGTGGTGCATACCTTTAATCCCAACACTTGGGAGACAAGGGAACTCTGAGGTCCAAGACAGCCAGAGCTGCATAGTGAGTCCCTGTCTCAAATAAAACAAACAATCAAAGCATACTGTTTTGTGGCATTTTCAGGCTAATACATGACAGAGATCAGGAGACTGCTCATGTATAGCATTAGGCAGTGTTTGAGAGTAGATCAGTTCATTTCATTTGACCATTGGGCGGTTAAGACTGAATGTAGTGGGGTTAGAGAGGTGGCTCTGTGGTCACGGGTGTGCAATCGCTTTGGTGGAGGATCTGAGTTTGCTTCCCAGCACTCTTTTTGGGCAGCTTCATGGCATCTGACGGTCTCTTGTGGACTCCTTGGGCATTGCATTTATGAGCACATACTTGCACATATACACATAACTAAAAATTAATATTTATATATGTATATATGGCTATATAGGTATATATATTTATATATATAAAATAAAGATAGAATGTGTATTATAGATAGAATATGTAAGGGTCTTAGGAAAACCATACTGACCTACCAACAGAGTCCATATTCTAAATTCTTTGTGAACATAAAACACTGAACACAGAAAGCTTTTTGTGTCTGGTCCCCAATAAATTTCTTTTGTGTGTGTTCATGTGGGTGTGCACATTTGTCAGTGTGCTGAAAATGACTGTTGAGGGATCTGCCATACTATGTAAGAGAGCTATACCACCCTCGGCAAGAAACAACTGAAAAGTGTATTTTAGCTTGTGGTAAAGGGATACGGCTCATCGTGTTGGAGAAGGGATGGAGGTGGGGAGGTCACAGGGCTGGTTATGGCATGCCATTGCAGTCCGGAAGCAGAGAGATGGATGATGGCACTCACCTGGCTTCCTTTTTCTCCATTCCAGTCTGTAGTTCATGAGATGCTGCCGCCTATGTTAGGGGTGGATCACCTCTCCTCTTCAGTTTAACTCCTAGGAAGTGCCCTAAAGTCCCACAGGCATCTAGAGGTGTGTCTCCTAGGTGATTCTCAGTACTTTGAAGTTAATGATCCAGACTAACAATCATCCTTCTGCCCTTTCTCAGCTTGATACCCAAGCATATCAGTTTTAATCATAACATCCCACCTCTGATGCTCAGCTAACTCTTTGACTCAGACACACCCAGTGAGGAGTGGGAGGTCCCTCTGTAATAATCTCTAACCGTTAAACACTTATTTTTTCCACATCTGCCATGTCTGCAACTTTCAATTTGTTAACACTCCTTTTCCTACCAAACTACATTTTTAATACCTTTCTGCTCTGCCTCCTTTCTCTTACTGGATACTTAAGAGCAGTGAGTAGTAACCACACTTCAGCCCAGATGCTGTAAAGTCTTAAAATTTCTTCCCCAGAACAGATTAGTCCATTATGTTCAAATTTAGCCTCACTCAAATTCTCAGGATGCTGCAGAATGCAGCTGCGTTCTTTTCTAGAATGTTCCGTGAATGGCCTGTAGTCCAGTTGCCAGCTGAAACCTGGAGAGCCAGACTTCACTGCCTAAATTTTTTGTTAGCCTCCTGGTTTTCCCATGATTCTACCAGAATTGTCCAATGATCTCTGCCTACAGCATTTCATCATTTCTCTAGCTCACGGGTCCGAAATCTCTGAAATGCAGTCAGGGCAGCAAGTGCCCCTTTTTGGAACAATCTGTGTTAGTTACTTTTCTCATGACTGTGTCCAGATAACATCGTGGAATAGATTTCAGATGCTTTCATAGACTGACTAGGTGTATTGACTCTCCTTTAGAGAATAAGGAACTTATAGATATGGAAAGGTTCAGATGGAAGGGGGCATGCAGTTATAAAAACAAACAGGTTCCACTGTGGTGGCACCACAGAACGCAGGCAAAAGAACGGTTGGCTTCCCCGTTACCCATCCACTTCAGCAGCTGAAGATAATTGCTGATGTAGTGGTCAAGAGAACTGGAACTAATTCCTGCCCCACCCAGCAGTGTGTCCATTTTTATGGCTTGTCTAGAAAGTAATGTATGAAAGTGTATCATATATCTTAAAAATAGTACCTACTGAATAAAGCATATACATGAGGTAATGCTAGCAAAAAATATACAAATAGAATATATGAGTCCTACTGAGTAAAAGTGTAACAAAAATGGGATATTGTCTAATCTCAAGACAGCCTTCTCCTGAGATACACCTTACTAACTACAGCATGTGCAGACAATAAGCAGTGGAGCAGTACCTGGGAGACTGCTTTCAGCTGCTTGCCATCAGTGATGAGACATGTGTGCGTCCCTTGTCTTCTACAAGGAACTTAGGTCATTTCTTAGCATTCGGGCTAGACACCTAACTTGAATTTAATAACATTAGAAAAAAAATAAGGGGAACACCCTACAAATTAACTGATTAGTACTCCTCGAAAATGCCATGGGTTTGAAAGACAGACTGAAGAGCTGTTACAGCCGGGAGGAGACAGGACGATTAAATGCAATGTGGCGTAGATTTAATCTTGGTGTGGAAAAGGGTGTTAGAGGAAAAGTGGAGGCGTCTGTATGAAGTCTGTAGAATGGCTGGTTACACATCTGTATTAGCTTTCCACTTTGATGATTGTATTGATTGTATTTGAGAGAGAAGATGAAGAAAAAGACATATTTAGACATTTTTTTCCCTAAGTGAAATTACTTCAAAGTGTGTAATTTTATTTAAACTTAAAACCTTTCTAAACTTTCAGACTAAAACAGATACCTCTGAAAAAACAGCTGATCAGTTATGGCTTGATTCTTCTGAGGCAATTGTCAGAGAAGATATTGTGCGTCTGAAAAATGAAGTTCAAGTTTTACAGCAACAGAACCAGGTGAATAAATGTCTTTTAATGAGACTTTTCGTGGCCTTACTGAATACCCAGGGAGCACAGACTGATGTAGCAGACACGGTGGTGCGAGTTAGTGGGCATGTTTTGGGAAGTTGTTGTGGTTCTGGCTGTTTCCCTTACTGTTGCTTGGGTGGTACTGTTCTTAGAAGGTTGAGTGGTTCCCATTTTGTGTGGTAGCCCGACCAATAGATACGATCCTGTCTTCTTAGCCAGCTGTTGACCAAGATGTAAAACCTTTTTTATTTTGATAAAGATTATTGAATTCTAAGACTTACTTTAAGGTATCAGTTAGCTTAATACTTCTCTGGTTAAATATTTCCATTTGATGCATTTTAAAACAAATACAATATTTTAATGTTTACTCCTAGTAGAATGCTACTTATTACAGAAATATGTCTATCTTACTTAGGTGTGAAGATACTTTTCCTTTTGTAGAATTGTGAGACAGAGATTGTATGAGATAATGGTATAAGACGGAGGGTGTTAAGACGTTAGACTAATCAGTTCAGGTGGGGTTTCTCTCTGCAATCCTTTGTTCTGTGTCTAGGAACTTAAAGAAGCTGAAGAGAAGCTGAGAAGTACAAACCAAGACTTGTGTAATCAGATGAGGCAGATGGTACAGGACTTTGACCACGATAAGCAGGAGGCTGTGGCTAGGTGAGTGTGTTGGTGCCCATTGCTCATCTCCTGGGTCTCCTCCTAGATAGCACGGTCTTCCACCCTTGCAGCCCCTCTCCCAAGATGGAGTGAGCTGTCCCTGTGGAGATCTTTGACAGAGGCCAGCCCCCACCTCCCACTTTATAACTTGGAACACAGAGACAGAGTTATGTGGTGGCCTAACCCTAGCTCATCACAGCTCTCGTGCACTGAAATACTAGGGCTGATTCTAAAGGCTCATCTGGGAATCTTGGAGGGGTTTGTCTTCCAAATACTGAGTTACACATTTGCAAACAGTCCTTTGGAAGAAAATTTGTAAGTTGGCTGCTGCTGGTATTTGAGTATCAAACATGTATGATTTGAATTTGGGGATTGTTTCTCAGTTATTTCAGTTAAACAGTTATTTCTTTATAAACACCAGTCCTCAGCATAGACTAACTCTTCTGTTTGAAGTACTGGGACATTGTCATACCCAAGTCCAATTTTCTCTAGAAACATAAGAAAGAAATCTTTGAAGATTCCTGTGAGACCAGTGGTTTTAAATGAACTCTTGTTTTTGGTTGGGGGAAAAACAATCTAACCTAATTATAATTTGCATTAATGAGAACAAGAGGAAGGAAGGCAGGCAGGTAGGCAGGAAGGAAGGTAGGCAGGCTGGAAGGTAGGCAGGAAGGAAGGTAGGCAGGCTGGAAGGTTCGCAGGTAGGAAGGTAGGCAGGCTGGAAGGTAGGAAGGTAGGCAGGAAGGTAGGAAGGTAGGCAGGCTGGAAGGTAGGCAGGAAGGTAGGAAGGTAGGCAGGCTGGAAGGTAGGCAGGAAGGTAGGAAGGTAGGCAGGAAGGTAGGAAGGGAGGAAGGGAGGCAGGAAGGGAGACAGGCCAGTTCATCCTGCCCCTGGTGCTGCGTGGCTTTAGTTCCCCTCTCTTGCTAGGTGTGAGAGAACTTACCAGCAGCACCACGAAGCCATGAAGGCTCAGATTCGAGAGAGCCTTTTAGCGAAGCACGCTGTGGAGAAGCAGCATCTCTTTGAGGTCTATGAGGGGACCCAGTCACAGCTCAGGTAAGAGGGGGCCTCACTGCCTGTTTGCTCCGTAATTTGGAGAGGGGTGTGTGTGCGTGTGTATATGTGTGTGTGTGTACGTGTGTGTACTCATGCATGTGCATGCTTGCACACACCCACTTACTTGCTGGTTGTGTGTCTCCAAGGTCTGACCTCGATAAGATGAACAAGGAGATGGCTTCTGTGCAGGAGTGTTACCTGGAAGTATGCCGAGAAAAGGATGAGCTGGAATCTGCTCTCAGGAAGACCGTGGAAAAGGCTCAGGAGCAAAAGGTAGGCTGCTCCCATCTCCTCTCATGCCTGCCTCATTTACACTAATACACCTGCTTTAGGGAAGTGGGAAGGTGTTCATAGAGGCCTTTTTATTTGACTATATCAAGCTATTATGGCTCACAGAATTAAAAACTATTGAAATTGTTAAGGTGAGGGAAGATCCCGTTTCTTTTTTAAAATGTTAACTTATGATTTATCTTATTATTTTTAATTATGTGTATGTGTATATCTCTGGGCATGTTGTGCACACAAGTGCAGTTGTCACAGGCCAGAAGAGGGCGTTGTACCTCTGGGGCTGGAGTTTCAGACTGTTGTCAACTCTCCTTAGCAGAAGCAGTGTGTACTTGTAACCACTGAGCCATCTCTCCAGCCTCACCTTTATAGACGTATTCTGGGACACAAAGCAGTCTGGATCAACTCATTCCCCTTGGCATCTCCATTTCCACGTGTTTGCTGCTTGTGCCTGCCCAGGAGGTCCTGCACAGCTTAGGAGTGCCGCGCACAGTGTGCCTCCGGCCGTGAGCGCCGCGTACAGTGTGCACAGTGCCTTCGGCTGTGAGCGCCACGCACAGTGTGCCTCCGGCCGTGAGCGCAGCACACAGTGTGCACAGTGTGCCTTTGGCCATGAGCGCCGGGCACAGTGTGCACAGTGTGCCTTCGGCTGTGAGCGCCACGCACAGTGTGCCTTCAGCTGTGAGTGCTGCACAGAGCACCATTAGTGGCTGTGAGTGCCGCACAGAGCCCGTTGGCGGCTTTCTCCCTCCACCTTTTGCACAGAGCAGAGCTTGTCACTTACTGTCCTGGGAAGGAGGAGTTTGACTGTCATCTTATGACAAGGAAGGTGAGGCTCTGGAGAAGGCTGTGTGACCACTGGCCTCCTGGGAGCTGGAGGAAGAGCCGAGGGTTCTTTATGTGACCAGTCCTTCCTGCTGCCCTTGCTGCATGTCCAGTGCGCCCATGGGAAGCCGTGGTCAGCTCTGTCCTCTGGAGATGGAGGTCTGACTCTGGTTGGCTTGGATCAGCCTGCAGGCCACAGTTTGAAAGCTACCTGCTTCAAGACTAGAAGCTAGGTCCAGAGTCCTGACTAAACATTCTGTCCAGATGTTTTTGAATATGAGATCGTAAAGCAAGGTGTTGCCATCACAAATGTGGAGACGGCAGTCATGAGCAAGTGGGGTGTTCATTTCATGTAATAGTTTGGCTATTTCAGTAGGTCAACATGATGGAAGGCATGCCACGTGTGTTCTGTCGCTCAATAGAAAATGAATCTTTAAAGGGAGTGGTTTTAGTTAGTGTTGGCTCCAGAAGAATTACAAAGGATTTAAAGTTATTTAGAAAGTGAGAACTTAACTTTTAGTAATTTCATAAAAATTAAAATAGGGAGAGAATCACTGATATGAGTGTTAGGTACAGAGTTTATAAAACGTGTAGGACCAAGATTCATGCTGCATGCACTGTTTTGTTTTTTGTAAAGACAGAGTCTTATACTGTTGCCCAGGTTGGCTTTGAACCTGCTGTGAAGCCAGGAATGACCTTGCCTCCACCATGCCCACATTGACACATTTCTAACATGGTGATTGTCAGTCCTACACAGAGATGCTGAGATGCTAACCTGAGTTTTGTTTACAGAGGCAGCTTTTGGAAGACAGAGAAGAGTATGTAGGCAAACTGAAGTTAGAACTTGAAGAGAAGTACCAAGAAACTCTTAAGACGGCGAAACAGAACTGGCTGAAAGAGCAAGAAGCTGGCGTTAAAGAGCGGGCCGAGGAAGAGGTGACGTCACTCAGAGAAAGGGTCTGGGTCAGAGTTTCTTCGGGTCACTGTCTATTTATTTTATTTTATTTTTCCCAGCCCTGGCTGGCCTGGAACTTGCTGTGTAGAACAGCCTGGCCTTAAACTCACAGACATCTGCCTGCCTTTGCCTCTTGAGTGCTGGGATTAAAGGACTGAGACACTACACCTGGCTTCTGGTCACTATATGTGTTAGTAACTGTAGTTCATTCTTCCTGAACATGTGGCTTACAATTAATTAGCAAGTATGTAGATAGCATCTGTTCTGTCTCTCAGAATCTGGCTGTTAGAACACATCATACCACTTTGACTTTTCAAAATTATTCCATGATCTTTATCCAAAATCAGGATATAAGGTTTTTTTTGGATATTTCTTTGATTCCTAGAAATAAAACTATGGTCTCATTTCCTATTATGAAATGGCTCTAGTAAGTCTATACCAATGTCTCTAATTATGTCATTATAGTCATAAATGAATAATAATGCATTGGATTAGGAGAAAAGTGAAGAGCAGGCTCAGCAGCCGAAACTTTAAGAAATTAATTTATTTAATTACAAAATGTAGCATGTTACTTAGGCCACTTTCATACAAGTATAAGACTGTCCTTAGATCTAGTGCCGTGCCCTGCCTGACTTCTCTGCTCACCCCTCCCCCATCCCATTGGTCCTTTATTTTCTAGATGGTTTTCCTTGTACTTTCATGCTCCTGTATATACTTGATTTTGTGTATCTTTATGAACTCTGTAGACCCACAGTGAGATGAGGTATTTATTCTTCTGAGACTGACTTCATTTGTCTTCAGCTGCATCTGCTTTCTTGCAAATGCTGTGCCTTGGTGGTTCTTCATGACTGAAGGGCGCTCTGTCGTGTGTAAATCACATCCTCTATTGGTCCCCCTGTTGCTGACATCGAGGTTGAGTCTGTACTTAGCTGTTGTATGGAGCGTGGCAGTAGTGTGAGTGTCTCTGCCGTATGCTGACTTGCGTCCTCTTTGGAATAAACACTAGTGGTGGGATGGCTGCACCTTTTCATAGCCTTAGTTTCGGTTTTGAGGAACTCCACAGTGACTGGACTGGGCTTGTCATCCCTGACAGCTGCGTCCAGGCTTCCTTTTGTCTGCATCCTTGCCATCACGGTTATTTATCTCCTCTGTCTCCTCCGCCTTCCTCTTGAGACAGGGTCTCACTTTGTAGCCTGGAACTTGCTATGCAGACCAGGCTGGCCTTGGACTCAGAGAGATCCATCCACCTCTGCCTTCTAAGTACCGGGATTAAAGGCATGCACCACCGTGCCTGGCTGGTTTCTTAGAAATTTAAGGACTGAAGTATGATCTTAAACACTTAGAAATAAAAAAATAAACCAGAATTCTAGCTTGTTGAAGATTCTGTCATAGATTCTGCCTTTGAGCTTGCTATTCTGTTAGTGTGGTAGCCAGGAAGTTCTTTTAGAACTCCAGGTAGTCAGCAGATGGGACAGGCAAAAAAGGAAAGGCCGGTTTGCTCCTTTATAGTTTTGTATAAGACTAATTATACCCATCTCCCTGTGTTGCTGAACAAGGGGAACGCATGAAGAGGGTCTGTCTGTGACACCTCCCTCTAACTTAATATATACTGATAAGATTCCAGGGTGTTGAAGTCGATGAGACTTTCTTACACCATTGACCCAACCTGTTGATTAGATTTACTCTGGAAAGTATTGTTGATGTGAAACTCCGTAGTTAATAGCGAACAGTTCTGTGAGGTTTTGTCGTGACATCTCTACAGTGGCAGAGTCAGAACTTTTTGGTCACATACTGACCGTGGGGTGCTCTGCCCTTAGTACTGTCATTAAGTCTTCATGGGGATTATGTTCTGTAGTAAAGCCAAAGAGGAATTTTCAAGTGTTGCTTGGGAATGTACTTTTGTGGACTAAATTTCTAGCCCTCATATAATAACTCCAGGAGTATGTATCAGCTGTGTCCATTGGCAGAACTTTAAACTTACCTAAAAGGAGATTATCTGTGTGATTGTGGACCGTGAACTTTGCAGAGGACACCATTGTGTCGCCGTGTCAGAAGGCTCGACAGCCACCCTCCATGGGTTTCAAGTACACCTGCAGTTGCTTTCTTTGAGTAACGTTTAATTCTAGTTTTTACTTTATTGAGTGCTTTTCTTCTATTCCTTCTAAAAACAGAACAGGCAAAACCTCATTCAACAGCTGGAAAAGGAGTTGCGGTCCAAACTGAACCATAGTGTAAAGACCCTGAGAAAGGCAACTGCTGACTCTGGCAGTCAGACCGACCAGGTAGCCCTTCCGGATGCCGTGGCTAAGGCAGAAGCAGCGGTCCTGGCAGAGGAGCAGGCTCGCAAGGTCCAGCGGGAGTTGGAGCAGGAGAAGGAGATTGCTGTCAAGGAAGCTTTGAGAAAGCTTGAAGTTGAGTTGGAGCTCAAGTACTGTGAGAGTATTACGCAACAGGTGATGGGCGCGGTCAACGGAGTGAAGTTTGGGGGTTGCTGACCAAGGAAAATCCCGGAAATGCTGCCTTTGAACTGGGGTGTGACTTTATACATTTTAAGGTTTTAGCATTTCTAGACTGGAATAGATAACTGCAATGTTTCTAAAGCTTTTTTCATTTTGGTTATAAAACTCTTTCTGTATTCATTGAGTTTTCAAAGTGCTTGTTTTCTGAAATCTAAGTGTTAGGATACCTGAGGGTGTGTGTGTGTGCATGTGCATTGGTTGTTTTAACATTCAAATTAAGAAGTAATTAAGAATCTTTCACATCTAGTTTTATAGAAAATATTCCACTAAAGGTATCTTTGTTAGTAATTTTGGATTAAGATATTTAGCAGCATTGGTGTTGAAATTCTATGCTGAATTGGGTTGGCAGGTATGCCCCGTAGTGGAGCTTTGTAATTCCCATCAATGGCCAAAAAGTGGTGCCATTGCCTTTCCCTTGCAGCATTCACAGCCTTGCTGTAGACATGGATGAAAACAGTTTCAAAGCAAGACTGTCCTGAGGAAAGTGTGGTTCATGTTAACAGAGTAAAGACGACTTATTCTCTTGTATCTAGGTTAGTTAGTGTAGTGATTCTCCTGGAGAGCTGCACTGTTGATGTGTGAAAGAGCAGAGTACTAAAGGCAGGTCATGTCTTAAAAATCTATTATCTATTTATTATTTTAGATATTTTACTTTAAATAAGAAGTTGCCTGGGGCTGGGGGTGTACACTAGTGATAGCATACTTGCCCAGCACAATAAAACCCTCATTTCAATCCCAGTACTAAAAAAAAGCAAAAACTGAAAAACAGTAACTGAAGTAAGATATTTAAATATTCTTAGTTTTTGATAAATATTCAGCAGTTTATACATATGCATTATTCTATATGTTATTGTAGGCTATCTTACAGTCAGAAAACATAGGCAAATAAACATATCAAGGATACCTTCATCAGTTAAAATTTCCTGAAATTGGGCCTGGTGTTGTTCTTGAAGAGGCAGGATTACAAGTTCCAGGCCAGCCTGGTCTACATAGTGAGTCCCAGGCCAGCCTAGTCTACACAGGGAGTCCCAGGCCAGCCTGGTCTACATGGTGAGTTCCAGGCCAGCAATCTTCTGAAGTCTTTACTAAGGTTCAGAAAACATTGGTTAGAGAAGTGTTTAAGAATGCCTCTTCAGTATATATGAAATTTTAGATCATATGAAGAAAAGTAAGAAAAGCCAACACAGCATGGAGGTAATGTCTCCAGAAAACATAAATTTCTGTAGGAACTCTTATCTTCTTGCTGTTTAACTACCTGGAGTTTATATGCACAAGCAATTAGTCCTTTCACTGGAAAATGTTTGTGTCAGCTCTGTGTCTATCTGTTTTAGAAGAAAGAAAGAAAAAAGTTTAATAAGCTCTGTCCATGTAATTGCTGATAGATTATAACCCGCTCATCCTTAAAGTTCATCATGTTTATAGAGTTCTTGTTTGAACCTGAAGGGTCATGTGCATTCTTATGTCCAAATGCATTCTTGACAGCAGCAATCTGTGCTAGGTATGAGGCATGTCTGTGTATGTGTGCACATGGTGTGCTGGTCGAGCATGAGCGAGGAGGTGGTGGGTGTAATGATTGACAGCAGCTGGCACTAGGTGACCCGCTGGTGTACTTTAGTTTTCCTTCCAGGAGCAATAGAACTTTGTGGAGAATGACAGAGCTTTGTAAGAAGCTTCTGATGACTGCATTGCTGATCAGATACAGATTCCCACTCCCTGCCTTGCCCTTTGCAGGGGACAGAATGTAATTTAGAGAGGATTGCTGTTTGCTGTTTATGAAATCAGGGAGACACAATGTAAAATATATATGAGGTCATAGTTGCTGTGAAATTTTACCCTTGCTATGCCTCTCTCCTGTCATCTCCTGTAGGTGGAAACAGCTGTGCAGAATGCCCGCAGTCGCTGGCTACAGGAGCTGCCCAAGCTTGCAGAGTACAAGGCACTGCTGAGAACCCAGCAGCAGGAGTGGGCGGAGCAGCAGGAGCTGGTGGTGGCCCAGAGGGTGAGTGCTGTGCCGTTCTGTCCATATCCTCCCACCTCCACTCTGGAGTGTGCACCTGCTGCTGGTGTTGAACTCTAACACTGCGCATTGAGCCTAAGCACATGGAATCCGCTCTTAGCTCACTGGAGGGGAGGCCATGTGCCTCAACACCTTGACCCTCACATCGGAGACATGGCTGCACTTAGAACTGAACCCCATTTTATTGTGGACCGTTTGGTTGAGATTGAGAACAGGCCTCTTTGCTCTTCATTACCATTTCACACGTGTGAAGATTTCCTGAGCTGACTATAGTCTTAGAGCGTGTTCACTTTGTAAATACCCAGCTCTCTAAAGGGTTTGTGCTCTTCAAAAGAAAAACCCAGATGTGCATACATTCCCCCCACCCCCATTTATGGATCTTAAACTGATTGCAGTCAAAGGGGAAGCAAGCTGGAAATAACTTTAAAGTTTGGCACAGTAATTTCTAAAATTTATTTTGAAAAATAAAAGACTAGACTTCCTTATTTCACTGTTCTGGAAAAGGTATTGTAGTCCACACAACAGAATATATTTGAAAGCAAAAACTGCCTTGAATCATAACAACACACTTCATACAAGACAGACTTGAGGGATAGGCCCAACTTTGAATAAAATGTTTAACAAATTGTTTCGAAGCCAAAGAACGAGGAATGGGTTACTCCATGGTGAGCAGTCTTGTGATAACCCAGTAATACTTTGGGAAAGTGGTTTTACCCACCTATGTGTCACAGTAAACTTTAGGCTGATAGAGTTAAACATTTGAACAACGAAATTATGTGATGATGCATGTCTGTGACTCTGGCACTTGAGAGATCTGATGTTCAAGGTCATCTTTTTTTTGTTTTTTGTTTTTTTTTGTTTTGTTTGTTTTTCGAGACAGGATTCCTCTGTGTAGTCCTGGATCTTGCTCTGTAGACCAAGGTGGCCTCGAACTCACAGAGATCCGCCTGACTCTGCCCCAAGTGCTGGGATTAAAGGCGTGCACCACTAACCACCTGACTCAACATCATCCTTGACTACAGAGAATTTGAGTCCAACCTGGGATACATGAGACTTTGTGTCAAAAATAAACAAATAATGAAATTTCAGTATTTTTTTACTATGTAATAGTAAGTGCATAAGTGTTTCTTATTTATGTATTTTTTGTGTGTCTGAAATACCTCAAAGGAAATATCTCAGAGGGAGAGAGACAGGAAATAGTATGATGAGACTCAGAAGTCAAGTAAAATAATAAAGTTGGGTAGAACATAGAAAGCAGATAGCCAGAAGGTCTCTAAGAGTACAGAAGGCATTTACAGTCCCGGCTCTCGGGCAGCTGAGGCAGGAGGATCTCACATATCTCAGTGGGTAATGTGCTTGCTGTGCAGCATGAAATTACGAGTTTGGAGCCTCAGAACCCACATAAAGCCAGGTTCATGTGCACCTGAGTGTGGCTGGAGACGGCAAGAGCAGGGGCATTGCTGACAAGCCAATCTAGTGGGAACAAGATTCAGAGTTAATGAAAGACTCGCTCCAAAAAATAAGATGGAGCATGAGAGGCAGGGGTCCCCATGTCAGCCTCTGGCACCTTCACAGGTGAGTGTACCCGCGCACACACACACATACACACACACACACACACACACACACACACACACACACACACACACACACTAAAATAAATGAAGAAGATTCTTAAGTCTAGTGTAAGCATGTTCTACAGAATGTATGTCACATCTAGATTTATTTTCCCTTTATTTTGTGTTTTAAATTGCTTGTTTAATTGGGAGGTTAGCCCAGATACTTAGGATCTGTTGTTAATAAAGACTGTCAGAGACTCTCAGATCTGTGTTGCTGACCTTCTGAAATGTGTGCTGCTATACCTTCTAGCTGTCACTTGTACTCTCTGAAGCTAAAGAGAAATGGAAAAGTGAGCTTGAAAATATGAAGCCACATGTAATACCTGTCAAGGAACTGGAAGAGAAAATTCAGTCTCTCCGGAAGGAACTGGAGTTGAAGGATGAGGAAGTCCCTGTGGTTGTCAGGGCTGAGTTGGCTAAGGCCCGAACTGAATGGAACAGAGAAAAACAGGAAGAAATCCATAGGATTCAAGAACAAAATGAGGAAGATTATCGGCAGTTTTTAGATGATCATCGGAATAAAATTAATGAAGTGCTTGCGGCAGCTAAAGAGGACTTTGAGAAGCAGAAAATTGAGCTACTTCTTCAGAAGGATACAGAGTTCCAAGCATGTCTGGACCAGAGTCGCAGGGAGTGGACACTGCAGGAGGCCGAGCGGACGCAACTGGAAATCCGTCAGTATGAGGATGACATCCTCACTGTGCTGGAGTTCCTCCTAAGGGACACCCAGAAGGAGTTTGCTGGTCACTCCCAGGGCAGGCAGCTTTTGGAAGTCATGTCAGTTTGTTCTTCAAAATGGGTATCTGTGCAGTATTTTGAGAAAGTAAAAGCCTGCATACAAAAAGCACTTCAAGATATGCTGCCCTTGCTCACAGACAGTATTGTCTCCGAGTGGAAAAAGGTACGTTTTTAGAGTAGAGAGAGCTTTTGAATACCAAGGGTAATTATGATTGTAGGAGGTGACTCTGGTGGGCTTTTCTTGCCTTCATCATATGATTAATAGGTAAAGATGTTTGTTTTCACCAGTGAAAACAAACTTCATTGCAGCAGAGCTAATGGATTCCATTTGGTGCTGGGTTTTTTTATTGCTCCATAGCTCCAACTATGAGGCAGGTCATTTAGCCTCTAGACAGCTATTACTTAGACATATATGTGTGTTATTCTTTATAAGGGCATGACATTTTAGAAACTAAATAATTGTGGTCCTAACCACTTTAAGAAGTATACATCATATGAAGACAGGATTGTTTGTTTGTTTTGTTTTTTCTGAAGAGGTTAGAAGTCAATATCTTGTCCACAATGAATTTATGTCTTCTTATACAAAAAGTGCCAATGAGGTCCCAAAATTGTTAAAAAGAAAGAAACAAGCAAGAGGTTTGATTCATTTGCCAAAATTCCTGGAGTCTGTTTCATAGATACCCCATATGTGTACGTGCAGAATGAGTTCTCTGTGTTCTTTTAGTCATGCAAGTACTGTCTGAGACCAGATGAATCCAGCCCGACATATTTAGGATTGAAGGATGAGGCATTCATGAAAATTCCAGAATCGTGTTCTAGTGTGTGGCCAGCTTGTTTCAGTGTTTAGGACCAGATGGGAAAGTGCCTGAATAGACTATAAGGCAAGCATTAGCCATTAGCGTTCAGGCCTGTGAAGATATCACCATTAAAGGCTTTTCTAGGCCATTTTTGAGCGTTCAGTGCTAATGCCTACTGGAAATGCTTATAAGCCAGGGTGGGAGTTCCAGTGTAGGAGACAAACTAGCAAGTTGCTTTGGGCAAATCTGTATTGTGGTTGGCCATCCAGAAAAAGAGAATCCAGCTCCCTGGCCCAATTCCTGACCGTGATGTCTGTTGGCCTGTCTGCATCCTACGTATGAAAAAGGACAGAACTTTCGAGTCGGAGAGACTGAAGTAGGCAGCCCTCCTCATCCCTGTTCATATGTTTATCCTTGATTTTACAGTGGTGTTACTATTACATAGTTGCCATCAATAAAAATGACTGGCAAGATTACTTCCCATGAGCATTGCTTAATACTTCGTTGAGAATCTTGGGAAGAAATATTAAAATAAGAAAAATAGCAGTTTTTAGGAATAGAGGTGATGAAGAAATCATGTTGATGCTTTCAAATTTGTCTAGAAAAGTCTTTACAAGTGAAAAAATTGACACTCTCGTACTTGTGTTTATTATACATGTTTATTACATTCCAAGTTTAGTTGCTAATGAATTTGACTTTTCCTTTAGTGAAAATGTGGGATTTTCAAGGCATTTCATTTTATGTCAATGCAAAATCAGTCTGGAGCTCTTCCAGGGCTTATAATTGCACAAGCAGTGTAAGCGCATCTGTGTGACTTATCTGGCTCATGGCTGTGGACATGAGACAATGCAGCTCAGAGTTTAGACTTGCACAGCTGTCCTTGGGTGGGTCGACTTGCATTCCTGGGGACGATGACTTGAAACGCCTAATCTCCTGTTTGCCATAGAAGCACTTGACCTGCTTGCTGCCTTGTAGCCAACACAGCTCAGGACACTGGGGGTCAATAGTGATTCCAAGTTTGCAGTCCATGTTCCATAAATATGAAAGGCTGATCTATAGTTTATTAAATCCATAGGGTTTAGAATTGCTCATGGAAACTGAAATAGACCAAGAGCTTGCTAAGATTGGAAGGATGTAGGAGTGAGAAAGACAATTTCTAAGAAAATGTTTTATTGAAAGATATTAATAAAATAGTTGTTAATGGATGGAAGAAAATGGAAATATTGGGAGAATTTCAAGCAAACTTAAGGTAGCACATTCTGTCACCTTCCAGAGACAAGTTAAAGCTAGATAGCAATGTCACATGTTCTGTTTCTTTGGTAGTTAGTAGGTGTCCAAAATCTGAACGTACTGCTTTAAAAACCAGTGAATTTAGTAAGTCTAATGCCCAAGAAAGTGACAGATACTAAGAGCCTTCATCATGAAGAAAGGCCTTGTGCAATAGGTCTTTGCACTTGGCATTCAAGTGTCTTTCTTACCTAGCCTAGTAACAGAATATGTTCAAGTACTTGTTTTGAATATGTTAGGAAGTAAAATATTTGTATCATAGTTGCTAGGGAATTTGACTCCTGTTGTAGTGAAAGTGTGCTAGATCAGGAATAATTCTGATATTGTTCATTATCTCCTGTCCTGTGTTGTAGCCAGCCGGGGAGGCCTGTCCATTTGCATATTGGATGCTGTTTATATACCATCCTAAGAGAGACACTGCTGATAATTCAAGCAAGACTGTTGATAGGCAGTGTTTTCTTTTTGTATTTGTTTGTTTTGTTTTTTTGAGGCAGGGTTTCTTGGTGTGTAGCCCTGGCTGTCCTGGAACTCGCTCTGTAGACCAGGCTGGCCTCGAACTCACAGAGATTCAGCTGCCTCTGCCTCTCAAGTGCTGAGATTAAAGGCGTGCACCACCACTGCCCGGCTTCTTTTTGCATTTTTAATATTAGAATTACATTTCTTTGTTCTTTAAAGTTAGGATTCTAAACAAATATTTGTAGATATTTTTCCCAGGTATTAAGTAAGAAGATAATTTATTTTATTTCAGAGAAATGTAGTCAAGACCTCTGCAGATCCTGTCGGCTGGAACACTGGCCAGGGAGACCCTGGAGTCCCAGCATCCTTTCCTGTCTGCACCTCTGGACGCTGTGCCCAGCCCTTGGCCTTGCCAGAAGCAGGAGCGGAAACTGGTACTGATTTTGTTTCCTGTCTAGATTGCATGCTGTGTTCAGGGCAGGGTTCACTTAGACCTCTTCTAGCGTGATGGGCTTCTCTCCGTGCACAGATGATGCTTACAAAGTGAAGAGTGAGCGTTGGCTAGACCAGTCAGAAATTTTGTCCTAACTGTTGAGAAATCAAGGGCTTCACACAAGAGAATTGCCAAATATGAATAGTGGAGACTACGTTCAAATCACTGAGACGGATTTCTGTTGTTTCTCTATTTAATTAAAATACAATTATGTCATTTAGCCTCTCCCTCATGTCCTTTCAATCCCTTCCATCCATCCCCCCAAACTTATGGTCTGTTTTTATTTCATTATTACTATTAGTGTGTGTGTGTGTGTGTGTGTGTGTGTGTGTGTGTGTGTGTGTATGTGTGTGAGAGAGAGAGAGAGAGAGAGAGAGAGAGAGAGAGAGAGAGAGAGAGAGAGGGAGAGAGAGGGAGAGAGGAGAGAGAGAATAAATAGATAAAATGCAACCATTTGAGTCTGTTTAGTGTTGGTTCTATATATAATTTCAGGGCAGACCATTTAGTATTGGGTAGTCAAAGTGCTCATCTCTGGGAAAGACTAATTCTCTCTCTCCTTCCCTTCCTCCCTCCCCCTCCCTCCCTCTCTTTTGCTTGCCTTATTTGCCTGTAGTTCTTGTTTAGGGGGTAAGGCCCTGTGAGATTTAGCTCATCTACTTTGGTATGTCACCTGGTATTATAATTGTTCAGATCTTGTTTAAGCAGCCATGTTGTTAGATTTCATCAGTGTTTCTTCCCTGTCATATCTAGAAGGCACTCTATCTAGACTCTTATAGCAGTCTTCCAAGACCCCCTCCGTCATTTCCATGATGTTCCCTGAGTCCTGGGTGTAGGAGTAGCAGTGTAGATGTATCATTTAGAGATGGGTGCCTGACAATCAGCTGCTCTCTGCGTTTTGGGCAATTGTGGATTTCTGTAATAGTTTCCTTCTGCAAAAATGAATATTCTTTGAGGAGAGAGGTGAGAGCTTCCTTTATCTGTGGGTATAAGAGTAACTATTTAGAATTGTAGCATGAATCTTGAATGTTCTTATTAATAAAATCAAACCTGAGCCAGATATTGGGGTGAACACTGGAAGATCAGAGACACAGAACAAGCCACAGCTAACCTCACCTGGCCAACTTCTCAGCTGGTCTTGTTTCCTCAGACTGGAATCTTCTGTGTCCTCATCCCAATGACTCTCAGCTGAACTGCTGCTCGAAATCCTGAACGCTTAACCAGCCAAATGCCTAACCAGCTAAATGCCCCTAGTTTCTGGTCCTCAAGCCTTATATATCTTTCTGCTTTCTACCACCACTCCCTGGGATTAAAGGCTTGCCTTCTGTGATTAAAGGCGTGAGTCACCATGCTTAGCTGTATCCTTGAACACATGGATTTCTGCCTCTGGAATGCTAGGATTAAAGGCGTGTGCTACCACTGCCTAACGTCTATGTTTAATATTGTGGCTGCTCTGTCTCTGACCCCAGATAAATTTATTAGCATGCACAATATTTGGGGGAATACAATACCACATAGAATGCAGTTAGAATTATACTGGTTTAGGAAAATGGCAGTATTAGGATCTAGGACTTCACTAACCATAGTGGTTGGCTGGGTTGACAGTACCAGTCATGATTTCCCTCTTGTTGAGTGGGCCTCCCAGTCCAATTACAGAGCTGTTGGTTGCTGCCAAGTTGTAAGTGCCACTGTTGCACCTTTAGGAATGTCTTGCCTTGCTGGTCATTGTTGTGATTCGTAGGCATGACAGCTGGGTAGGACTTGATTGCTTTCCTCCATGACAACTTGCATATCAGCTTCTGGTACTAAGAAAGCTAGTCTTTCGGGTTCGATCGAGCTCAGATCCCCCACTGTGTGTGTGGTTTGCAGCCATAGGGACTTACCTTCAACTTTGGCGGGGGGCAACATAGGGCAGCATAAATAACCTGTATTGTTTTGGGAGTCTCTTGGGCTAACTTGACCAACAGCTCAAAAGAAGGTTTCTAATGCCTGCTTCTGGGGATTTTGTTAGATCTCCAACTTGTGGGAGGATATTATCTTCCCAAGTGTCATAACTTCATTTATACTCTGTGTGTGTATGCACATGTAAGTATTGCATATAATATTAGATAAATATAAAATATGATTCCCTATGGCTATTTCAAACATCTTTAGTGTTATTTATCCATTCTCCTTCCTGTATTGGCCTCCCTCTAACCTTCCTAAGCCCCCCACCTCCATTTATCCTATTTCCCCAGTTGTTTTTATATTTGTGTGTGTGTGTGTGTGTGTGTGTGTGTGTGTGTGTGTGTGTGTGTATACACATGCAGTGGTAGGGTAGGAACACATGTGCTATCGTGCAGGTGTGGAGGTCAAAGGACAACTTTATAGTCTGTTCTCTCCTTCCACTATGGGATCTAGGGATGAAACTCAAGCAGTCAGGTTTGTGCAGCAAGTACTTCTACCTGCTGATCCATCCTGCAAGCCCTATTTCAACTGTTTTCATTAATGCAAATCTTTCTGGTGCATTTTGACCATTTTTTATTTGTATAGATTTTAGGACAGGTGTGGTGCTTTTCATCTACTCATTTCTAACATAGCAAAGTACATGGTAATGCATAAGCATTTGATGCAGTAAAATTTTTCCTTTTTTGAGTAATGTTTTTAAAATATTTTAAATTTAATTTTATGTTTTTGAGTGTTTTGCCTGCTTTTATGTCTGTGCACCACAGAAGCCAGAAGAGGGCTTTGAATCTCCTGAAACTGGAGTTACAAACAGTTGTGAGTCCCCATGTGGGTGCTGGGGATTGAACCCAGGTCCTCGGGAAGAGCAGCCAGTGTGCTAAACTGCTGAGCTATCTCTCCAGCCCCAAGTAACTTATATCTTACACTATGCTGTAGCCCTTTGTATTCAGAGTTTACCTGGGAATATGAGGCTGTTTCTTATTCACTGAGATTTCTGAACTAGGACTTTGCAAATTTCTAAGAGTCCATCCTTTCCAGTATACTGAACCTTTGTAGTCTGTTCCTGTCCTACACATACTCTCCTGCTGCATAATTGGCACTTCTGTTGTAACATGCAAAGAGTGGACAGAACTGTGTATTAAGTCACACGTTCTCATGACTTAACGCAGTATCACAGTGGTCTTTAGTTGGCAGTTTTTGTCAATGTTCTCCTCAGAGCCTTTCCCCTTACCTCTAAATTCTAGGTGGCTTGGGAATACCTATTGAGAGTTTGTTTAGTGGATGGCAGTATGACCCTAATTTGTATTTTGTTTCATGTATCACATTTGTAATAACTTGAGAGTTACATTGTAACCTATTAAATGGTAGAGATAAAATTTAGATGTGACTTGGCTTCTTGTGAAAGAAATTGTCTTTGACTGAAGACCAACAGCACTGTACAGAAGTTCATTTTTCTTTCTGTCTTTTTCCTGTGAGCATATCTGTAAACTCATTAGGAAAGACTAAATCCTGTAAAGTCATTTATAGTACCTGTCTTAGTTAGGGTTTTTATTGCTCTGAAAAGATACCATGACCATGGCAACTTTTAAAAAGTAAAACATTTAATTAAAGTGGCTCATTTACAGTTTCATAGGTTCAATCCATTATCATCATGATGGGGAGCATGGGGGCGTGCAGGCAGAGGAATAGCTGAGAGTCCTACATCTTGACTCAGAGGCAACAGGAAATCGACTGACACACTGGGCGGTGTCCTGAGCATAGGAAACCTCAAAGCCCGCCCCCACAGTGACACACTTCCTCCAACAAGGCCACGCCCACTCCACCAAAGCCACTCCTCCTAGTAGTGCCACTCCCTGTGAGCCTATGTGGCCAATTACGTTCAAACTATCACAGTACCACTTCCAGAAGTTACCATGGGGGATATTAGATTTGGTTATAGTTTCCTAATCTTATTATTTTAAGTAATTTGACCACTGATGATGAAATATCTCATATATGCCAAGAATATAAATAGTGTGTAGGTAAGTTATGAACGCTAACACCAGGAACCCACCGTTTAGCTTAAGAAATAGTAGGTCTGCAGTACTCTACCACAGTTCCATCCACAGCAGCTCTCAGCCTGTGGTAACAGAGAACCTGATTTCCTGTGGGGCATTTACCCACCAACCCCACAGTTCCCCAGAGTTTTCTTGAGTGCGAGCAGCAGGGAATATTAGATAGAAGGATTTAGAGTGTGGTGATAAACAGATAGAAAATACAGGATAGCCTCAAGAGGGCCTGGAACCTATTCCAATGGGCCCTGACTGTCTCTGCCCCAGAGGATTTATAGAGATGCCAAGGGGTGGAGCAAAAGACCTCCTCCCCCAGCACAGCCAAGTGCAGACCATCTCAGACACCTGCACTCAGGCCCGTGGTCCTAATCATCCTCTCTATGCGGACTGCTGGGTAATGCCACGAGGAACCTGAAAATGGGCTCCTACAATTTCCAAAAGCCATTTAGGTTTTCTTTTTTTCATCTTGACAACTACATATTTTTTATTCAAACATGATAAAAATGGATTGATACACATTATATTCTTTGTAATTTGATTTTTCTTCACCTAAAGGATGTCTAGGATAGCACTTCCCCTGTACATTATACTCATTTACACTGTGTCCTGTACTCATTCGCCTTTGCATCCTTTGACAGAAAGTATTCCCATGGTGTCTCCTTGTCTTTTATCACTTTGAAGTGTTAAGGACTAGTATTCTTTCTTTTCTTCCCCCTCATTCTTTTTGTTTGTTTGTTTTTAAATTTATTTATTTTATATCCCAACCATGTTTTCCCCTCCTCTCCCCCCATTCCCTCCTCCTCTGTTTCTGTTCTGGGCAGGTCTCCCATGGGTATCAACAAAGCCATTCTTTTTTCAAAACAGAACTTATTCATTTGAGGTTTATCTTCTGTTCATGAATCCATTCAGATTCATGTGTCTCCTTGGCCGGAAGGCTACACTGATAGTATCTTTTCACATCTGGAAGCACAGTGGCCATTTTTCTTTTATTGTTGAGGTTAATTTTGATCACCTGGTCAAAATTGTGTTTCTTCATTATATAATTACTGCCCTCCCTCCATCTGCAGCCAGTAAGCAGTCTGCAGAGAGGCACTTTGAGGACTGTGCAAACAGCCTTCTCGTTAAAGCCTTCTCTTGGATATGGTGGTCACTGGTGATTCTTGCCTGATTGTCTTCATATCCTGGTTGCAAAATGATAAGTTTTCCAACTCCAAACATCTCTCTACATTTACCACTTGGCATTCAGCATGTTTTTATAATAATAAAATAATAAAAACAATTACCTTTACTTACTGGTTCATCTGTTCAGCTATTTGTCTATCTCTCCTTTCGTGTCATGTGTACGATTCACATATTCTTAGTTTTCAATACTTTATACTTTCTGGCTTGCCAAGATATTTCTGTTTCATTTTGTACATGCATCTTCTACTTTTGAAGTTAGCCATTTTTTTTTCCCCATTGGCGCTTTGCCGTGAGTGTCAGATCCCCTGGAACTGGAGTTACAGACAGTTGTGAGCTGCCATATGGGTGCTGAGAATTGAACCTGGGTCCTCTGGAAGAGCAGTCAGTGCTCTTAACCTCTGAGCCATATCTCCAGCCCCAGTTAGCCATTTTTTAAAAAGTCTTTTATGAAGCTCTCTTTATGGAGAATGGTATTCAATATTAAGATCTGGGCATTGGTTTCATAGCAATTTTAAACTGGATGGCATTATCGAGTTTAATGGATCAAAACATTAAGCCTTACAGAAGCTAAGTAACCATGCCAACAAGTATTGGGACCGAAGTTAGACCTGGCCTCCCTCTTGCGCACCCTGCTCTTCCAATTATGCCGTGGCCTTTGGTCATGAGTTCTGCCAGCTTGGTTTCTTTTTTCTTGCCTGCCTGTAACCCAAACAGTTTCATAAAAAGGTTTTGTATTATTTCATTTTTTTCCAGATAAAAAGATCTTTGAAATTAAAGATTGGTGCTGTGGACACTGCTTCCGAGAACTTGAAAGGGAAACGCAGGAGTGTCGAGATCTGAAAAGGAAGCTGGAGAAGTGCCATAGTCACCTTCAGCATTTAGAAAGGACGCACAAGGCTGCAGTGGAGAAACTTGGAGGTCAGCAGTTCCAGCTCACTTCTACCTTAGGAGGCTGGCGGGGCCTGGCTCCCATGTTCAGGCGGAACACTTTTGTTAACGTGGGCACCAGTGCTCTTGGTGAGCTGATGGAATCCAGTTTGGATCTGTCTTTACTAACTGAATTAAAGAGCTTCACATTCCTTTCTCGATCGATGAGACCTCGCCGGCCTGAGTGTGTGTCAGGCGGTGCTCTGTGCACTGGAAATGGAAGCGTGGGTCAAGTCAAGCTTTGCTCTGGGAAGTGGGAAGAGCATAAATAAAGCGTGGGGGTCTGGGCTAGCTTCCCTCCGGTCCACTCGTGCATGCTGACAGGGTTGTCCACCACCGTTTCCGATGGCCCCTCTGAAGAAGGGAGCTGTTGGCCTTCCATGGCTCCTCCGTCCTCCTCTTCTCCCTGTCCTCCTCTTCTCCACTCCCTCTTTTTGACTGGACATTTGAACCGTTTCCAGTTGTTTTCTTTGCTGCTGAGCCTTGCCTGTGATATTATCACTCTGTCATGTGTCCTTGACCCTGCTGTTTACTTTTTGGTCTAACTTTCATGCTTTAGGATTAACTCACGAAATGTTGTATCTGCAAAGTCCTTGATTTTCCCAGCTGAGATGAGTGGGCACAGCTGTATGGGTTCCTCCTCCATTCTCTCTGTTGCTGTTCTGGATTCTACCATCCAAACTGTTTCTTATCTTATTTGTCATCAGAGTCGTAGTACCCACATTATACTAAACAGTAAATGTTTGAATGACTATAACAATAAAAACAAACCTGATGGACTAGACATTGTTTAGACATTTATTACTTGTATATATTGTATATAGTCATTGTACTTTTGTATATAGTTTTTCTTTTGTTAGTTATAACCTTTTTCTTTTTTTCCTTTTTATTAAAATAGAAAAGGGGGGAAAAAAAGTGAAGGCAAAGTAGATGTTCTTGCTGCTATTAAACATTACATATTACAGATGTATTCCAGATATGCATCATTAATATGCCATAAATTATCTAAATTTTCCTGATCTTCTTAGAAAAATGGTAAGGAAATCGCAAACACACACACACACACACACACACACACACACACACACACACACACACACAGAGAGAGAGAGAGAGAGAGAGTCAAAAACAACACTGAAATCATAGCACTGAGTAGAATTCCATAATATCCTATTTTCATTTTCTGCATAACAAAATAATGTATTTGTAGACATACAAAAATAAGTCAAGGAGTTACCCCACTGATCTGGAATATAGGGACAATTATGGGTTGGAGGGGGAAAGCAGGGGACAAGAGGAGGGAAGAGAGGGGGATCTGTGGTTGATATGTAAAATGAATAAAAAATTTCTGAATAAAAAAATTAAAAAAAAAAAACAAAAAAAAAACCAAACAAACCTGAATGCTGGGGTCTCAAACAGTTGTGTGGGGGTGGGGAGAGGCAAGCAAGCCGTTCACTTCTTCTTGGCTCCACGTCACTTCTGCTCTTACCTGATGTTGACACTCACTCTCACACCTTTCTGCTTCCTTCCGTGTCTGCTAGTCTGTCCTTCGTAAGGCAGCTAAAGGATTGGATTGTAACATTTCTTGTTAAGCCCTCCTCAGTGTTTGTAATTTTTACATAGTGATATTTAGCACTCTACACCGTGATCGTGAAATGGTTATTTTGTTTTATTTGCTTATTTAGAGTCAGGATCTCATTATAGAGCCCTGGCTGGCCTGGAACTCACTTTGTAGGCTAAGCTGGCCTTAGATTCCCAGAGATCCACCTGCATCAGGCTCCTGAGCACTGAGATTAAAGCTGTGTGTCACCACACCTTGTGTAGTTATTTTGCATAGTGAGTTTTGAACTTGGTATCTTGTATCATTCAAAAGCTCCAAGAAAGGTGGTGCTTCTTTCAAAACAGTGGACAGATGAAAGAGCCAAGGTCAAAACTAAGTAAGTTATTTGATAATTGTATTGCATTCTTGTCATAAATCTATTACATGAACCCTATAGTTCTGCTTGTTTGTTTTTGAGTTCCTTTTTTTTTTTTTTTTTTTTTTAACATTTCTTTTTTTTCTTTTTTTTTTTTTTTTCATTTATTTATTATGTATACAGTACTCTGTCTGCATGTATGCCTGCAGGCCAGAAGAGGGCACCAGATCTCATTATGGATGGTTGTGAGCCACCATGTGGTTGCTGGGAATTGAACTCAGGACCTCTGGAAGAACAGCCAGTGCTCTTAACCGCTGAGCCATCTCTCCAGCCCTTGAGTTCCTTTTTTGATAGCACTCATCAGAGTGGTAGAGTAGGTGTGAGTGGCTTCCAAGTCCACTGCGTTTGTGTCTTAGCTCTTAGGGTCTGCTGATGGGGTGGCTTTGTTCACAGTTACTGAGCATTGCTACGCAGTAGTTGTTTTATTAGTGTGTAATCTGTTAAGATGTGTGACACTATCCCCATCTTACAAGCGGGACAACTCAGGCTTAGAAAGATAAGGAATTTGCTCAGGCCCATCCAGCCAGTAAACTGAGTTAGGGCTTACCCTTGGTTCTGTACTCTGCAGGGCAAGCTTTCTGCTTCACAGCCCTTGGGCTCTGTCAGCCTCTTCTGAACACCTTACACGATTTAAAAGAATGGTACCTACTTTAGGTTATTTTCTTTTTACTTTCTATTGAGGTTCTTGCTCAACGATGGTCTTTATGAACATAAACTCTGTACTAGGAGCTGAGCATACGTAGAATTAGAAAACCCAGATCTTGGTGGGGAGTGTAGCTGCTGGCAGAATTCTTGCATAGCATGTGCAGCACTGAGTTCCAGCAGAAGCACGTCAAGAAACAAAGCAGCCCCATTCTGGAGAGCTTCCCTTCAGCTGGGAAGCTCAGCACGCACACCCCAGACAGTGGGACACCAGTTTCAGGATATGTGCAGTGGAGATGAAGAGGAAACATTTAAATGCTGAGAAAACTGCACAGGGGAAGGTTCAGTGCAGGGCTGACTGGGGAGGTAACACAAGAGAGAACTGGAAAGTAGGCAGCCCCCTCTGAAGCACTTTCATAGATTAATGCCGACTTTCTGTTGTAGAAGAGAACAGCAGAGTGGTTGAAGAATTAATAGAAGAAAACAATGACATGAAGAATAAATTGGAAGCATTGAGGGGCCTTTGCAGATCACCACCACGGTAACGTTTTATAGTTAAGACGATCTCTTTTTAAGCACCCTAATTTTAGTAGAAATGTCACACTGAATCATTGTGTTATTTCACATAAAATATATTCACAGGAAAGACTGTATTATTCCATTGTTTTATATCACTTAGGCTGTTTATATATACATGCCATGTGTACAATGTTCAAAAAATTGGGATTTGGGGATTATTGTTACCCTTCACTAATAAGATTAGAGAAACATTTCCCTGTGTTACTAGGAACCTCCTACAACGTGATCTTCAGTAGCTGTGTATATTTTCATCTTGTGGATTTGCCAGTATTTACTTAGGCAATCATAATGTTGATTTGCTGATTTCCTTCTTTTGTTTTGTTTTTGAGACAAGGTTTAATATCTCCCAAGGTTGGCCTCAAATGTAGCTCAAGATTACCTTGAATTTCAGCCTTAATCCAGTGAGTGCTGGGGTTATAGGTGTGCACTATGACTCCTGATTTCTGGGGATGGAAAACAGGGCTTCATGGATGCTAAACAGTCCTCTACCAACTGAGCTTCTACCCCAGCTTTCCTCTTATACTAAATAACTGAATAATGGTGATTCCTTTGTGTGGCATCCTGGGCATATCTCATGTCATTTTATTAGATTGTAAGAATGCATGTAACTCTTTCTTTTTTTTTTTTTTTTTAAGATTTATTTATTTATTGTGTATATAGTGAGTGTTCTGTCTGCAGGCCAGAGGAGGGCACCAGATCTCATTGTAGATGGTTGTGAGCCACCATGTGGTTGCTGGGAATTGAACTCAGGACCTCTGGAAGAACAGCCAGTGCTCTTAACCTCTGAGCCATCTCTCCAGCCCCCGAATGTAACTCTTTCAAGTGATGCTCTTTATTTACAGCTTCTGTTGTTCTGCAATGTTTTTTTTTGGTTAGGTCACTGTCTGAAGGAGCCATTGAGAGCGAGTGGCTGCCATGCAGTAGGCAGGCCTTGGAAGAACTCCGTGGACAGTACATTAAAGCGGTCAAAAAAATTAAACGTAAGTTCCTAAAGAGATTCTCAAGATCTTTGCTGGGACAGGCCTTTTGCACTGTCATGAAATGGAAACTCAGGGTTGACCATTTTAGTGAATTTTCCAAACTGCCTTTTTCTTCAGCCTTAGAAGAGATTATTGATGCCATCTCAAAAATTGCATAGTAATGGATTAGTTTGCCCAAGTGACACCAGTAGGGTTTTTTTTCCTAACATTTATTTTTATTTTACATGTATTCATGTATTTTACATGTAATCAAGTATGTGTCTGTGCACCATGTGCATGCCTATTGCCTGTGGAGGCCAGAAGATGGCATCAGGTCCCCTGGCACTGAAGTTAGGGATGGTTATGGGCCACTGTGTGGATGCTGGGAACTAAAGCCTGATCCTCTGCAAGAGAAGCCTGATGGGGGAATGTCTTTCTGTACGCTGTGAATATGTGTTGCTCTGATTGGTTGATAAATAAAGCCATTTGGCCTATGGCAAGGCAGCTTAGAGGCAGGTGGGACATTCTAACTAGAGAGACAGGAAGAAGGCAGAGAGAGATGCCAGCCAGCCACCCAGGGAGCAACATGTAATGGGACATAGGTAAAGCCACAGAAAATGTGGCAAAACATAAATTAATAGAAATAAGTTAATTTAAGATACAAGAGCTAGCTAGCAGGAAGCCTGCCATGGCCATACTTTAAAAATAATATAAGCCTCTGTGTGTTTACTTGGGTTTGAGCGGCTGCAGACCGGGTGGGACACAGGAAAACTTTCAGCTACAGAAACCAGTACTTTTAACCACTGAGTCATCTCTAGTTCCCAAGAGTAGTTACTTTTATATTGCTGATTATCAGTTTTTAATCTTTGTTTAGACGTTAGACTCAAATAACCTTAAAATGTAATAGCCTTAGAGCATAAATAACTTGTAGAAAGAACATGCCATGGGAAGACTGAAATATGACAGAGGGAGGGACGGAGGGGGGAGTGTGTCATCTGAGTCAGATTCCTATTGTAGACGTAGGAACTGTGGGGTGAATCTAGTCAGTATTATTTCTTCTTGTTCCAAATGGCTATGAATTTGTCAGGGCTTTGTCAGTACCAGCCGCCTTGTAGAGCATCTCCAGGGTGTCTCCAAAGTAAAGACTCCTGTGTTTCAACCACAAAAGTGCATGACATGGGTGTGCGTCTCATGCAGCAGTCAGGGCTTATGTAGAGAAACAGACTTTCCTCCTAAAATTGCTTTCATTTTTTAACAAAAGGCAGGAAAAGTCTCAGATTCTAATCACTGGGTGTCAAAGTCATTTGTAGATGTGAAAGGCCAGTCGGTTTCATCAGTGAGATTTCTCAGTTATTCGTCGTCGTACTAGCAAAGGGCAAAGTTAGAGCAAACCACTCTTACAGGAAGTGGAAATGAGGCAGTTTTCATCCTGATATAAGGCACGTGTTCTGGGTTAGCTAACGTTTACAAGGGTAATTGGAGGTTAATGTGGCAACATCATTTCAGTTCTCCCATCTCACAGAAGGAAAAGTGGACCCCCACTTTGCATTTGTACACAGAGCATCTAATTTTCAGATGTTTACTGACATTGACGGGGAAGTTCCTGTGTGAGTAGGCACTCCTGATATAATAGGAGTGGCTAAGTTCTAGATGTAGAATGTAGTCCTAGATTTAGTTTTTAAAAGTTAGCTTTAACCAGTAGTAGTACAAATGAGAGCCACAGTGAGGAGGAGAAAGGTATGGATTATGATTTTATGTGACTTTCAGACAGAAACATAGTTCTCCCCACTCTGTGCAGAACATCTTGTGTGACCCTTGTGAGTTGTTTACTGAAAGCACTGGCTGAGCATGGACTAGAGACCTTTAGAGCACAGGGAAGAATGTATGTTTTCCTCCTTTCCAGTGTCTGCCTTTCTGCCCACTCCTGGGGGTTTCTTTCCTCAACTGAATCATAAGGTACAGTAGAACACAGGTTTCTTGCTCACTTCGTTGAGTGTTTTAGACTATAACAGAAGACATGGTGGTTTTCCCCACATGCAGCCATCGCCATCTTAGGGCTAACAGAGTGCTTTTCTTTTGAGTCTACTCAAATGGCATTGTGAAGTGTTGCATTGCAAAGGGCATGGGAAGTACAACGTTTCAACTGTGCCTCCTTCACCTCATCTGCCAGAAAACTGCTCTGAAGTTTGCACCTTCTGTTTTTGGAGAAACAGTGAGAATCATGGGGGTTTCTTCACCCTCTGCAGGTGATATGCTTCGATACATTCAGGAGAGCAAGGAAAGAGCCGCAGAAATGGTGAAGGCGGAAGTGTTGCGGGAACGGCAGCACACTGCCCGCAAGATGCGCAAGTATTATCTGACTTGCCTTCAGCAGATCCTGCAGGATAATGGAAAGGAAGAGGGGTGAGTTCAGTGTACACTGTGTGTCCTGACCACACCAGGACAGTGTGCTGTCATTTCCTTAACCACAGAACCAACCGTATATATGATCAGTGTACACTGTGTGTCCTGACCACACCAGGACAGTGTGCTGTCATTTCCTTAACCACAGAATCAACCGTATATATGATCATGTACACTGTGTGTCCTGACCACACCAGGACAGTTTATGTGATCAAGAGAGAAGTTTAGGCTGGGTTTCCCTCGGTATTGGCAGAGCCATTAGGAAACAATCCCAGGACTGAGGAGTCCCGTGAGTTTCATTTTAAACTGTTTTGATTTTATATTCTGGAATTCCTCACAGAGCTGAGAAGAAGATTATGAATGCTGCTAGCAAACTCGCTACAATGGCAGAGTTGTTGGGAACAATTGCAGAGTCAGACTGTGGAGTCAGGTGTGTGCAGGCAGGCCGCTCAGGTGGGTTCTCTTTTCGTTTGGATATCTGGTATTCTCTGTATGAAAAAAGGCAGCTCCATAAGGAGTCAGAGCTGGTTTATAAGGTTGTACTTGGGGTAAGGAGAAAGGAGAAAGTCGGCTTACACTTTCCACAGTAGACTGCATAGCCTCACCAACTGTCGCTGTGACGTCCATCCATCCAGAGACGTGGTGGACAAGATTTTAATTGACAAAGCATGAAAAAAAAAGGCAGAATTGTAACCCAATTTGAGCAGTTGCTGTTGATAGACCAGAAGCTATAGGATGTGTGAGAAAATGGGAAACCTCGACTCAGAACTGCTCCACAACAGCACAGGTAGGGGCAACAGCAAAACCTGTGTCACATGCGGGATCGTGTGTCCCAGGAGAAGCAGTGGCCCGTGGTGCCGGTGGGTGATGAGCTGGTGGTGTAGAGCAGTGCCCAGGTGGAAATACTGGTTTCATTTCTCCCCTTTCCTTCTCCTCCCTTCTCCTCTTCTCCAGTTCCCCTCCCCGCCATTCTCCTTCCCATTCCGTTTCTCTTTGTCCTTCCCAACCCTAGTATTGGACCAGGTGGAGGCAGACCAGAGTGCTGGCTGCCTGGCGTCAAGAAGGTGCCCTTAGCCTCTGTGTCCTGAGTGCTGGCTGTCAGGTCTTTGTGCAACACAACTGTTCCCCTCCACCAGCTCCTCAGTCATGCAGCACAGACAGATACTGCATTCAAGATATCTACGAGTAAACATTTAACCAAGAACCATCATGCATTTCAAGAACATCGTCAGCATGAAAGAGATGCAGAAACAGATGCAGAACAAAGCTAACAATGCCCACTGAAGGCAAAAGACTACTTAAAAAGCAGAACCTAAGGATGTTCAGAAGATAGTGACTGTTCTTAGAAAGATGTAAACTTTAGGGATGCCAAGAAGAAGAAATGAATATATTATGACTTCCAGACTACTAGAGGAAAACCTTTAAGAAAAAGTTTAGTCTAACAAAATCAAAAAAGAGAAAAAGCTAGAAGACATACATAAACAGATACTAAAAGTAGGTTGCAACATCAGCAACCACTGAATGTGAATGGGGTAAGGGTTTCACAAGATACTGATACTTGCTATTTTTACAAGAACTTAAGGTAATAGAGAATGATAACAAGGAGATGAAATGGGGCGATTAGAATTTAAACACAAATACATAAGCGGGCAAAGTAGCACGTACATTAAAGGGGCAGGTGATAATGAAATGTCCTGTAGAACACGGCTTTAGTGTCTGAAAAGTAAGCACTGGTAGAAATACAAGGAGAAAATTGCTATTTCACTTAACATGCCTATGTGGGAAGAAGCTTCTGATCTTCTGGTCACCTGGAAGCAGAGATTGTTCAGCCACTCAGAATGTTTCTCGTAGAGCCACAAGCTTTACTTGTGTAAGTTTTGGATTGGTGCACTTTAGGTACAAAGGGCAGTGGCATGTAACAAGAAAGCCGACTTCTGATTTGGGGGCAAGGACGCGAAACTCATGTCCCCAGTCAAACCTGCTTCTGTCGGTCAACTCAGGGTTCCGAGGTCACTACTCAGATACAGTTCTGTGGCATGCTTTCCTCTGATCTGGGGCAGTGTCCTGGCTTTCACAGAGGGGTGTTCCTTCTGAGTACCATGGAGTTGTTTTGCACACTTCGTCAGAAACTTCATGCTTGACATCAGAGGCAGAGCCACATTGCTTTGCAATCAGCTCTTAAAATGTTGTAGTACCCATCAAAAAAGAAATGGAATGGCTGAAAATAAGGCTCCCTCCTCTGGACTCCAGCTGTGTCAGGTTGACATAAAACTAGCCAGCACAGGATGTAACGTTTCAGCCACAAAGACTACCATTGCTATGGATATGAGTAAAAGAATGTTTATACTTGCCTATCACTGATGCATATTCTTTGATAATACACAAAACTGTAAATATATTGTTCTCTTTAAAGTGTTCATTTTCTCTTAATTCTTGTGCTCCTAACTTTGTGTTCCTTTGCACATAGTAGCATTTCCCCTGACTTCAGAGATGCTGATGGGCGTTGAGAGATCAGAAAGGAGCGGTGTGAATCAGAATATTCCACAGTACATTGAAAGCAAACCAAACAGTGGAAAAACTGCCCCCAGAAGTGTGTATGAGCAAGTTCCTAGGAGGAGGGCTGCATCTAATTTCCAGAGGCAGCTAGAGGATTCAGAACACAGAGAAATAAAGCCCGTGACTTCTACAGCTTTGCCTTCAGACCGTCAGTGTGGGGGTGAGAGTTGCAGGCCCCCAGACATCTTGGCAAAGAATGTCGTTCCTGATTTTGTTGCACACAGGGGCGAAGGTGGCTTTGATTTGCACAAGAAGAAAGACCCACCCAGTGGAGCTGGCTCTGAGTCACTTCTTTATTCAGCCATCCCCTTCCTTGGAACTGCTGAAAAGAAATCTTCACCTAGATGCGTCTCAGGATCCATACACACAAGCCTTGGAGGTCCCAGTGAAGTACCAAGGCTCAAAGCATCTATTTGTGGTTCTCTAACAGAAACCGAGAGTGCTGTATCCGAGACGAGTCAGGGTGTGGACACTCCAGTGAAGGATGAAGAGGGGCCTAGCAGCTCTCCAGGCCAGCTTTCTGATAGGACTTTACCCTGTGGCGGTCGTCCTCTGTTGTCACAAAGGACTCCGGAGATGCTGGGGGACTCTGTCGAGTTGAAACAGTTCTCAGCAGCCAGTTGCCTTCCAGATGCCCAGAAAAGTAATATGGTTCGTCGAAGTGGTTACACTCCAGATCTGCCCAGAGAAACCCTGCATTCCCAGCAAGGGAAGATGGCTGCGACTCTGGGATACTCATCCCAACAGAACACGGATGTGTTAAAGCCAGATTTCAGAAAACTGAGTGGCACAGGACCATCATCAGTGTGTCCGAAGCCTTTGAGAAAGTTAACTGCTCCCCTGACGAGCCAACAAGATAGCGGCTTTGACAGCCCGTTTGCCAATCTAGACTAATCATGTGCCATGTTCCAGAAGAATCATTACTATTCACACGAGAAACTGGATAGGAATACTTTATACTGAAAATCAATTATGAGGTCTGTAGTTTCATGTGCCTGATACTATTCCTGAGTAAAGTTTTCTCATTCAGTTACTTGAGGCTTGGCGCTGCCTTAATCTTGGGGGCCTGGATGATGTGCTGTGTGGTGCGTCTGTGTGGTGCTTGTTCGGTTACTCAGCCCTCTACGTTTATATTTATAAGCTGACTTATTTTGCAGTGTTAAAGTATTTAATAAAATTGTGTGTAATCTGTAGATTTGTCATGATTTATTTTGTAGTTTATAGTCTAGAAATGGTACATTGACATCATACTTGAAATCAACTCAAAAAATACAGACTTTGGTTACTTGTGTATATGACCAGCCAGATGTAGTGTTAAGCTCAACTCATAAATATCAATATGTTGTATATTAGTTTTCACTGATTTTCCTTGTGACTAGTTTTGTTTTTTTTTTTTTAATCTATGTGTTGTTTGGAAATATGTCACTTTATTTCCAAGAATTTGGGAACCGCCCCCCAACATACACATATATGGTTTTTCCCTATTTTTCCATTGTTTTTGGAGAATATAATTTGAATGATTCCAGTTCTTTTTTTTTTTTTTTTTTTTTTGGTTTTTCGAGACAGGGTTTCTCTGTGCAGCTTTGCGCCTTTCCTGGGACTTACTTGGTAGCCCAGGCTGGCCTCGAACTCACAGAGATCCACCTGGCTCTGCCTCCCGAGTGCTGGGATTAAAGGCGTGCGCCACCACCGCCTGGCTGATTCCAGTTCTTTTATAGAGACTGGTTTTTTTTTTTTTTTTGGTTTTTCGAGACAGGGTTTCTCTGTGTAGCTTTGCGCCTTTCCTGGGACTCACTTGGTAGCCCAGGCTGGCCTCGAACTCACAGAGATCCGCCTGGCTCTGCCTCCCGAGTGCTGGGATTAAAGGCGTGCGCCACCACCGCCCGGCGAGACTGGTTTTATGGTCTGTGGTGGAGTACCTTTCACCTGACAAGAGTGTATCTCCCATTCACTGAAAGCTTTCAATGTGCCTTAGTTTTTTGGTTAATGGCATCACCAAGTCTACCCTGACTGTGTTGATGGTTTTGCCTTTTGTCCAGGTAAGCATGGGCTATGGAGAGCTGCAGAGAGGGCTCAGTGCTTTAGAGCGCTTGCTTTTCTCGCAGAGGACTCGTTTAGTTCCTAGCACCACAGAAGAGTGCCTCCCAACTCTGTCTAATGCCGATTCCAGAATCTAAAGCTGCCTCTATCCTCTGCATGCGCGCGCACACACACACACACACACACAGATACACATGTACATGTATAACATTTTCTACTGAGTGGGTTGTGTTAATTTCTGACTATATTCATTACATTGTCTTTCAGTTCTTTTTTGTTTCATGTATATGTTGTTAGGTACATATGTGTATATGTCTGTTTATATTTGTTGTATCTTCCTAATGTGTTGATCTCCACCATTATAAGATAGCCTTTTAATTTAGTATTTCTGATCTTAAAGCTTATTCCACAGTAATACTGTAGCCACTTCAGCTCTCTTATGATTATTGTTTGCTTGATGTCGCTTTTCTGCTCTTTTCTTTTTACTCCTATTCTTTTTTTTTATTTAATTTTTTTAATTTTTATTTTGCATTACAATTCAGTTCTACATATCAGCCACGGATTCCCTTGTTCTCCCCCCTCCCGCCCTCCTCACCTTCCCCCCAGCCCCCCCCCCATTCCCACCTCCTCCAGGGCAAAGCCTTCCCCACAGACTGAGATCAACCTGGTAGACTCAGTCCAGGTAGGTCTAGTCCCCTCCTCCCAGGCCGAGCCAAACAATCCTGCATAGGCCCCGGGTTTCAAACAGCCAACTCATGCAATGAGCACAGGACCCGGTCCCACTGCCTGGATGCCTCCCAAACAGATCAAGCCAATCAACTCTCTCACCCATTCAGAGGGCCTGATCCAGTTGGGGACCCCTCAGCCATTGGTTCATAGTTCATGTGTTTCCATTCGTTTGGCTATTTGTCCCTGTGCTTTATCCAACCTTGGTCTCAACAATTCTCGCTCATATAAACCCTCTTCATTCTCGCTAATTGGACTCCCAGAGATCCACCCGGGGCCTAGCCATGGATCTCTGCATCCAGATCCCTCAGTAGTTGGATGAGGTTTCTAGCACAACAATTAGGGTGTTTGGCCATCCCATCACCAGAGTAGGTCAGTTCGGGCTGTCTCTCGACCATTGCCAGCAGTCTGTTGTGGGGGTATCTTTGTGGATTTCTGTGGGCCTCTCTAGCACTTTGCTTCTTCCTATTCTCATGTGGTCTTCATTTACCATGGTCTCCTATTCCTTGTTCTCCCTCTCTGTTGTTGATCCAGCTGGGATCTCCCACTCCCCCAAGCTCTCTTTCCCTCGACCCTCGCCCTTCACTACCCCCACTCATGTCCAGGCTGTTCATGTAGATCTCATTCCGTATCTCTGTCATTTACTCCTATTCTTTTATCCTTTAATTTAATGGAAATCTCTGGTAGCATATTGTGGGAACTTGCTTTTTTTTTTTTTTTTTTTTTAAATTTTAACTAGACAAGATACCTTCTTCTCTCTTTCTTCCCCGCTTTCCTCTTCCCCCCTCCTTCCCTCCTTTCTTTTCTTTTGCAACAGTGTATATAGACTCTTTGGTGTGGGGCCTGCCCCGAATCATTGTCAACTTCGCAGAAGTCACACCCTAACCCAACTTTTCCTCTCCCGGTGTGTCTTAGGGTTTTTATTGCAGTGAAGAGACACCATGATCACAGCAACTCTTATAAGGAAAACATTTAATTGGGATGGCCACTTACAGTTTCAGAGGTTTAGTCCATTATCATCGTGACAGAGCGTGGTGGCATGCAGGCAAATGTGGTACTGGCTACGTCTTGGCTTGTAGGTAATAGGAAGTTGAATAACACCCTGGGCAGTATCCTGAGCATAGGAAACCTCAAAGCCCACTCCCACAGTGGCACACTGCCTCCAACAAGGCTATACTCACTTTAACAAAACCACACCTCCTAATAGTGCCACTCCCTATGAGATTATGGGGGTCAAGTACATTCAAACTACCATATTCCACTCCCTGGCCCCCATAAGCTTGTAACAATATAATGCAGAATGTATTTAGTTCAACTTCAAAAGTCTCCATAGTCTATCACAGTCACAATGTTTAAAAGTCCAAAGTCTCTTCTGAGATTCATGCAGTCTCTTAACTGTAATCACCTGTAAAATCAAAATAGAAAAACAGATTATATACTTCCAACATATAATGGCACAGAATATACATTACCATTCCAAAATGTGGGGAAGGGAGCATAGTGAGGAAATTCTGGACCAAAGCAAGACCAAAAACGAGGTGGGCAAACTCCAAACTCCGCCTCTCCATGTCTGATGTTGGAATGCTCTTTAGATCTCCAGCACCTTTCATCTTTGTTGACTGCAACACACTTCTTTCTCTTGGACTAGTTCTACTCCCTGTTAGCAGCTCTCCTCAGCAGGTATCCCACTACTCTGGCATCTCTAACATCTTGTGGTCTCCAAGGCAGTCTAGACTTCAACTTCACAGCTTCATGCGGTAGCTTCTATTAGGCTTCCATTCAAGGACACTCCTGACACATGCCTGGCCTCAGAGGCTTTCTTTAGGCATGGAGGCAAAACTCATTTCCTCTATTCTTAATTCTAAAGCCATAGTCATGTGGCAAAAGTTGCCAAGTTCTGCTGCTTGTTGGGGCTGGAACTTGGCCCCCTCCTTCAATTACATCTTCACCCGCTTTCTGTCTTTCACTGCCTAAGCTTGGCTGTTCTGAAACTTGTTCTGTAGCCCAGGCTGGCCTCAAACTCAGAGATCCACCAGCCTCTGCCTTCCTAGTGCTGGAATTAAAGGTGTGCGCCACTACACTTGGCTCTAAGCTTTTTTTTAAGTTCCTTTTCAAAAGTTGGAAACTTAACAGAGTGGGATCTTGCCCTGAGGTCACCCATTCCCTCTCTTCTATTTCTTAATCCATTTTCCTCCTTGAACTCAGGACTTCATTCCACTTCCTGATGCTTTTTCTCCTTAAATTTTACATTTTGTAATTTGTCTGCTCAGTGAGCTCCTTTTCATTATAAATCTTCATTCGAGTTACCATTAATAACCACACAACAGAGTCTATACTAGGCTATTCTGAGATTCCACTGTCTATGGAATTAATCCAAAACTTTTCACTTTAGCCTCAGGCAGACTGTTTGGACAATGTGGGAGCCCACAGAGGCGATCTAGTGAGACCTTACTCAGGGTCAGAGAATCTGGGCTTGCTTTACCCAGTAGGGCTGTATAAAGGAGATGATTTAAACACGGGCGTGTTTACTAGGTGTTTGGAAGGGTTTACACCTGACTGTATGGTGTGCTTTGATCTTTCAAGGGGAAGGTCTTTTGCCTCTTTCCTTGGCATGTTATAAAAATTTCTTTTCAATAAATAAGAGACGAGGGTGGTGGGTATTAACCCAGGTCCTCCCGAAGCTATCCTGTTTCTGTCTTTCTTGTTGTCTAGGTCCCTCTTTCATTTAATTCCTCTCTCCTCCACCTAAGAACCCTTCAAAAGGTGGGAGCTGGACTCTCACAGGACAAGGGCAAAAAGTAGCCACTTTGCTCACCCAAATATCACAAGACCAGTCTCTAAGCTACATATATTCTTCTCTAAAATCTCTTGATCCCCACGGTTCATCAAATCACATTCAGCACTACTGTCTTCCATGTTCCTACTAGTACAGCCCATTAAGCAGCACTTAAAGCATTCCACTGCTTTCCTAACCCAAACTCCCAAAGTTCATATTACTTCAAACAAAAACATGGTCAGGATGTCACAGCAATACTCTAGTCCCTGGTAACAACTTCTGTCTTAGGGTTTTATTGCTGTGAAGAGACACCATGACCACAGCAACTCTTATAAGGAAAACATTTAATTGGGGTGGCCTGCTTCCAGTTTCAGAGGTTTAGTCCATTATCATCATGACTGGAAGCATGGCGGCCTGCAGGCAGACATGGCGCTGGCTACATCTTGGCTCACAAGCAATAGGCCATACCTACTCCACCAAAGTCACACCTCCTAATAGTGCTACTCCTATGAGATTATGGGGCCAATTACATTCAAACTCGCACACCCAGCAACTATTAAAGCCAATTGCTCCTTGATTAGGCGTAGGACTTCATGCCTCACACCCACCACCCCCAATACTGGGATTTTGTCTGGCTTGAGCTTGCACAGG